ACAATGTAATTACAGTAAAACCTGTCTAATCCGAACACCCATGGGACCAGCCGAAAGCGTTCAAATTGGCAGGTGTTCAAATTTCGAGGATTTTGTTGGTCCGGGGGGGGGGGGGATTTTCATTGTTCAGTCCACTTATTGCACAGAAAACAATACATGTTGTTGATGAGTTAATTCTACTATAGGCCCATAGCCTATATGCTTTATTTATATTTTGAACAATTTCATCATTTTAGTAAAAACAACTCTTATATTTCAGCAAAAACTTGTATGTACTTTGTATATGATAGTCTCGTACGAAATCGTATGCTTATCAATGGCTTATCCCATATTATGGTTATATAGCACTGCTTTACTTTTGCTTGATGGATGTCAGATGTATGCCTTTTTAGGAGACATTTTAGTGATAAGATATTACGAAGTTGAATTTTTTTCTCTTTCTCGTGATACAATCCTGTCTGCAAATGTCGTCTGTGTTGTCTTTGTGATTATAAAACATTTACTGATTGAATCTTAGCTATCATAACAGACCCATGGGATATAAAACAGTTAAGACCTGTTCATAATCCAAATCAAAAACATCCAGTTAATTTACAATAAGGATAAACCAATTATCTCCCGGATTCTCACCTTTCTCTTAATCCAAATCAAAAACATCCAGGTAATTTCCAATAATGATGAACCGATTATCTTCTTGATTCACACCTTTCTCTTAATCCAAACATAAAACATTCAGTTCTTTTCTAATAGGATAAACCAATTAACTCCTGTATACCTTTCCAAAACATCCTGTTGTTGTCCACAAAGGGATGTCACTGAGACTAAATAAGTTAATTAGGACAATATTGGTTCTTTGATTACATTGTATATGTAAAGATAAATAACAACTATAACATTGACTCAATATGTGGCTTTAATTGAAATGTCCTGACATTTGATTTCTGAAAAAATGTTCAGATTAGACAGGTCACTTTTTCAAATCTGGTTGTTCACTGTTCAAATTAGGAAGTGCTCAGATTTCAAGTTTTTTAACATGGGAGTCAACGGGAGTAAAAAATGGGACTGAAAAAAAGTGTTCAAATTGGAAGTTGTTCGGATTAGACAGGTGTTCAATTATACAGGTTCTACTGTAGTATCCATGTCAAAGCAGATGTATTATTTTGTACTTTTTAATTTAACAAGTTTTTTTTATTTTTTCATCCATTTGTATAGTATGTTCAAGTTTCATGAATTATGTCACACTTCCATTAACAGTTCACTTCTTGGCTTTGAAGACAAGTCACTTATGTCAGTTGTTTACTTAATATATTACAGTTCTATAAATGCTGTTGCACTTGCATTAAAAATGTTTTCTCATACGCTCATGCAACGTTTACACTAAGAGTAAATGTTATGATGGTTGTGTTTCACTGTTAAATAATATCCCTGATGTAACATGTCCATATATGTAACTGTCTCCATATTATATACACAACTGTTAATGTCAGTTATTAACATTTAGAGTTTTATATGTTAAATTTCATTGGTCATGTTACATTTTCATGGGTAGTGATGGTCTTTCAAAGTTCATGGAAAGTCATCAATTTAAAAGGCATGTGTGCTACTCTCTATTGGAGTACAAAGATTGTACTATAAGTAACTCTAAATGATAAGTGATATCGGTGACTTTCTATAAAATTTTTAGATAATTAGTTGCAAAGGAAGTGTAACATTACTCATTAAAAACTGCGTGACTCCTAAATAGTAGCTGAAAATGAAGATTGTACATTATCAGTGACAATGCACATTTATAAAACCTGTGCTGGAGATTGTGTAAACAGTGCTTGTTTTCAAATACTGAAATAGAGTTTTTTTTAACTAAAAATGTATAATTTTTGTTAATTAAATCAGTTACTCAATATCAATCTAATACATTATTGGTACAGTGACAGTCTAGTGAATCTTGACAATTAGTCTAATCAATTGTGAGTTCACTAGGTACATTCAATCCTGAAAACTGTTTAGTCTATAGAACTTTGTGTGCAATAGTGCAGTTGTAGTTGTGGGCCCAGACTATATACTCTGTAAAGAACCAGAGCAGAATTCAGAGGACGACAGCTTAGAAGTTTTCCAAAATACTAATTTTTCTGTATTTCCATATGATGTACGTATATGTACGTATTATATTTAATGCCATGCGACACTTGCATTAAGAGATTTGACAATCTTAAAGTCTGTGATACAGCACGTGGTTCTTTTTGCCTTCAGAAACTTTGCTAGTAATTTATCACTCTTAATTTGAACACACAGGGCAGATCAATATTTTTATTACGATAGCTGCAATGTATGAAAAACGCCAATGTTTTCCTTGAACATACAAAATAACCCACACCATGCAATGAGTACATGATTTGCATTTTACTAATTTGTGAAGGATGATTCGTATTTCTATATTTTGTGAGATTATATCTAATGATAATACCACCTCTGCTTGAGGGTGATTTTTCAAAATGGTTGCTATTTTCAAAATGACAGCGATTTACGCGATTTTTTCTCGTTTCAGGCCATAACTTGAGAATCATTTGATGGATTTTGTTAATAATTCATAGAAATATGCAACAACGATTTTTTTCAAAATGCTGGCTATTTTTAAAATCCAATCTATAATCTTTAATTATAAAAAGCCCACCATTTGCAATTTTGCTGGAACTTCTTTCTGATGGAACTATATTATGGGGTCAGTTATAGTGCAAAGTCTATGGGTCCAATTTTACAAGAACCCACAATCAAAACAATGACCCCATATCATGATTGTCCCACATTTACCTCTCGTCAGTACGTCCGTCCGTCCGTCCGTCCGTCTGTCCATACGTCCGGGAGTTTTCTCCAAAACCGCTACAGATATCACCTTCAAATTTTCAGGGATAACTTATGAGTGCATACAGATGTGGATGAAAAAATTTTAGCTCGATACCTACTTCCTGTCGGCCATTTTGAAGTCAAATGCTAAAATCCTTGTCTGCAAACTTTAAGAAAAACGGCTTCACAGTTGCTTTTAAAACTTTAACATCTTGTTCAGCTCACTTCATTCTAGATCTGATTAGGTTTTGGACCTGTTAGCTCAGTCATGTCAGCCATTTTGAATATCTTAAGAAAAGTTAGCGCACGATAATACTTTGTATCATATTGAATGGTGTTTTTGACTTTTCATACTTTAACTATTTAGTAGCTTTATAAATAATTTCAGATGTACTTTGTTGTAAAAGCCTATGTTATTGTTAACAGTAGTTATATGTGATAATTTTGTAAGAAGAAATCAGCAAAAACACATAATCACTTTTTTATTGTCGGCCATTTTGGATTTTCCGTCCTAAAATCTTGTCTGTGAAGTCTTGTCTACGTGTTTTCAGGTGAACCGTTTGGTGGATCAATTTCAAATTTTCAGGGATGATTCTTAGTATAAAAATCTAGATCTGATTAGTTTTTTGGCATTCTGGGTAAATGTCAAGGCAGCCATTTTGGATTTTCCGTCCTAAAATCTTGTCTGTAAAGTCTTGTCTACGCGTTTTCAGGTGAACCGTTTGGTAGATCAATTTCAAATTTTCAGAGATGATTCTTAGTATGAAAATGTAGAACTGATTAGTTTTTTGGCAATCAGGGCAAATGTCAAGGCAGCCATTTTGGATTTTCTGTCCTAAAATCTTGTCTGTAAAGTCTTGTCTATGCATTTCCAGGTGAACCGTTCTGTAGATCAATTTCAAATTTTTAGGGATGATTCTTAGTATGAAAATCTAGATCTGATTAGTTTTTTGGCATTCTGGATAAATGTCAAGGCAGCCATTTTGGATTTTCCGTCTTAAAATCTTGCCTGTAAAGTCTTGTCTACGCGTTTTTAGGTGAACCGTTTGGTAGATCAATTTCAAATTTTCAGGGATGATTCTTAGTGTGAAAATCTACATCTGAGGGCAAATGTCAAGGCAGACATTTTGGATTTTCTGTCCTAAAATCTTGTCTGTAAAGTCTTGTCTATGCATTTCCAGGTGAACCGTTCTGTAGATCAATTTCAAATTTTTAGGGATGATTCTTAGTATGAAAATCTAGATCTGATTAGTTTTTTGGCATTCTGTGTAAATGTCATGGCAGCCATTTTGGATTTTCTGTCCTAAAATCTTGTCTGTAAAGTCTTGTCTACGCGTTTTCAGGTGAACCATTTGGTAGATCGATGTCATATTTTCAGGGATGATTCTTAGTATGAAAATCTAGGAACAGATTAGTTTTTTGACATTCTGGGTAAATGTCAAGGCAGCCATTTTGGATTTTCCATCCTAAAATCTTGTCTGTAAAGTCTTGTTTACATTTTTTCTAGTTAACTGTGTGACGGATCAATTAAAAATTTTCAGGGGTGGTTCTTAGTTTGAAAATCTAGAACTGACTAAATTTTTGGCATTCTGGGTAAATTTTAAGGTGGCCATTTTGGATTTTCCGTCCTCAAATTGTGTTGGTAAAGTCTTGTCTACTCATTTTCAGGATAACCATTTCATGGGATCACCCATTGGTGGGGACATTTTGTACACATTTGTGTTCTTGTTTAAAATGTGTTCAAAGAAACTGAAATAACACCAAGTAATTCCTGCAGGGCTGTAGCCAGGGGGGGTTCGATGGGTTCAAATTGGAATTTTTCAAAAAGTGAACCCCCCTTGGCAAATCCTGGCTACGGGCCTGACCTGTTTTAAGTAATTTTGGTTCAGTATCCATAAAGCAGTACCTTTGAGTCATAGTTTGGGAATTTTTGCATAATCCTTTACACTAAGGGTTCTTTTTTATTATCTCATGACTAGTCACATGATACTATTATTCATCCCCAGAAGTGGTGACATACAATGTATTGTTATAGTACCCAGTGTTTTTTTGGATGGTGTTTGGTAGTCAGCATCTGTAACAAATGGCATTTTGCATTCGGTGTAACAAATGGCAGGTGGTGACATTTTGCATGTTAATGCCTTGTGTATTTTTGTTTTCAGAGGTGAATAGTCCAAAATGGCCAGAGAAAACTTGGTGCGTTGTCAGGCATGGGAAGCCATTGAAACCCCCCCTTACCATGAAACAGGCTCCAAACTTTAGTAAGCTAAATATTGTATAATTTTCAAAAAAAAATCATTACATGTACATTTTGTGTTAGATTTTGACAAATTCTTAATCCCTATTTAATTTCTTCATGATGAGTTAAATTTTTATTTCAAAATTTGTTTTGGTGATATAAATTGTGAAATTATAATAATTATGTGGCATGCAAAATCAAGATTCTTACCTTTTGCAACTTTTAATATGAATGTAAAAGGAACACAGTCATTTTTCATATGAGAATGATTGATTGGTTGTCAAGTAGAGTGAACATCATCTCCAATAATGGAGGAAAAATATATTTTTAATTGACTGAAAAGTAAGAGATTTGCATTTGCAGTATTAATCTTAGACAGACAGTCACACCCAACTTAATAATTCTCTGAATAGCCTGTTCTACAGACAGACAGACAGTCACACCCAACTTAATAATTCTCTGAATAACCTGTTCTGCAGACAGACAGTCACACCCAACTTAATGAACCTCTGAATAACCTGTTCTGCACTGCAGACAGACAGTCACACCCAACTTAATAATTCTCTGAATAACCTGTTCTGCAGACAGACCTTCACACCCAACTTAATGAACCTCTGAATAACCTGTTCTGCAGACAGACAGTCACACCCAACTTAATAATTCTCTGAATAACCTGTTCTGCAGACAGACAGTCACACCCAACTAAATAAATCTCTGAATAACCTGTTCTGCAGACAGACAGTCACACCCAACTTAATAATTCTCTGAATAACCTGTTCTGCAGACAGACAGTCACACCCAACTTAATAAATCTCTGAATAACCTGTTCTGCAGACAGACAGTCACACCCAACTTAATAAATCTCTGAATAACCTGTTCTGCAGACAGACAGTCACACCAAACTTAATAATTCTCTGAATAACCTGTTCTGCAGACAGACAGTCACAGCCAACTTAATAAATCTCTGAATAACCTGTTCTGCAGACAGACAGTCACACCCAACTTAATAAATCTCTGAATAACCTGTTCTGCAGACAGACAGTCACACCCAACTTAATAAATCTCTGAATAACCTGTTCTGCAGACAGACAGTCACACCCAACTTAATAAATCTCTGAATAACCTGTTCTGCAGACAGACAGTCACACCCAACTTAATAATTCTCTGAATAACCTGTTCTGCAGACAGACAGTCACACCCAACTTAATAATTCTCTGAATAACCTGTTCTGCAGACAGACAGTCACACCCAACTTAATAATTCTCTGAATAACCTGTTCTGCAGACAGACAGTCACACCCAACTTAATAATTCTCTGAATAACCTGTTCTGTATATCATGTTTCAGTACATGCCTACAATGCTTGGAGGTTCTCAGGTATGGCTCGGCCCCAGGAGCTGATGGCCTCAACTCTCTTCAACAAGTTAACTATGCACAAACGATCTCTGGGACATCTTTCTGCTGTATATTGTGTGGCATACGACCGCACAGGAAAATACATATTCACAGTATGTAATGTAGCTTACTATCTGTTTTATATTTATCATTTAACCACATACATTTTATGACTTCAGTTGCTTATGAAGTCATCATTTTTGAAGAAGATTTTAGGGTAAACCCTGTATCCGTCATCTGAACACCTCTAATCTGAACACTTCAAATGTGAACTCATTTTTTCAGTCCCACTTTTATGCGGTGACATATTGTTTAAGTCTACAATTTTTTTGTAAACAGTGTTCAGTGGTCGATGGTCGGCATCTGTAACAAATGGCAGGTGGTGACATTTTGTATGTTAATGCCTTGTTTAATCTGCCATAGTCTTCTGTTAAGAAACCTCAAAATGTGATCACCTGTCAATCGGAACTCTTTCATCCAGTCCATGTAGCATTTGAATTAGACAGGTTTTACTGTACTTGTTTATTCCAGGGTGCGGATGACCACCTTGTAAAGATTTGGAGTGCATTAGATGGTAGATTACTGGCAACATTAAGAGGCCATGCTGCAGAAATTACTGACATGACAGTGAACTTTGAGAACACATTACTAGCAAGTGGTAGCTGTGATAAGTGTATTAGAGTCTGGTGTTTGAAGACTACTGCCCCAATAGCTGTACTCCAGGGTCACACCAGTATGATCACCTCAATACAGGTATGATTTAAAAATAGAGACAGTCTGATTGATTTTAAACTTGCTTTTCAACTTTGAAATCAACACTTAATAGATATTTTACTATCCGGGAAAATATTAATTTTTGATTTTGTTATTTAGTCATGCAAATTAGCAGCCAATGTAAGAATAAGACAGTGAATCAATCTCTACATAAGTAGACATGGTTTCCAATAAAAATATCAAGGATTGCCCTCTTTGAAAGAGCCTGTTCAACTGAAAGTAAACAATAATAACATACTAATACCTTAACTGAACAGTGCAGTATTCGATTAGGCACAAAGCATAAGATACAACTGGTTTACAAAACAGTTGTTTTCATTAAGATTGATACCTTAACTGAACAGTGCAGTATTCGATTAGGCACAAAGCATAAGACACAACTGGTTTACAAAACAGTTGTTTTCATCTACATTGATACTTTAACTGAACAGTGCAGTATTCGATTAGGCACAAAGCATAAGATACAACTGGTTTACAAAACAGTTGTTTTCATTAAGATTGATACCTTAACTGAACAGTGCAGTATTCGATTAGGCACAAAGCATAAGACACAACTGGTTTACAAAACAGTTGTTTTCATCTACATTGATACCTTAACTGAACAGTGCAGTATTCGATTAGGCACAAAGCATAAGATACAACTGGTTTACAAAACAGTTGTTTTCATTAAGATTGATACCTTAACTGAACAGTGCAGTATTCGATTAGGCACAAAGCATAAGACACAACTGGTTTACAAAACAGTTGTTTTCATTTACATTGATACCTTAACTGAACAGTGCAGTATTCGATTAGGCACAAAGCATAAGATACAAATGGTTTACAAAACAGTTGTTTTCATTTACATTGATACCTTAACTGAACAGTGCAGTATTCGATTAGGCACAAAGCATAAGACACAACTGGTTTACAAAACAGTTGTTTTCATTTACATTGATACCTTAACTGAACATTGCAGTATTCGATTAGGCACAAAGCATAAGATACAACTGGTTTACAAAACAGTTGTTTTCATTTACATTGATACCTTAACTGAACAGTGCAGTATTTGATTAGGCACAAAGCATAAGATACAACTGGTTTACAAAACAGTTGTTTTCATTAAGATTGATACCTTAACTGAACAGTGCAGTATTCGATTAGGCACAAAGCATAAGACACAACTGGTTTACAAAACAGTTGTTTTCATCTACATTGATACCTTAACTGAACAGTGCAGTATTCGATTAGGCACAAAGCATAAGATACAACTGGTTTACAAAACAGTTGTTTTCATTAAGATTGATACCTTAACTGAACAGTGCAGTATTCGATTAGGCACAAAGCATAAGACACAACTGGTTTACAAAATAGTTGTTTTCATTTACATTGATACCTTAACTGAACAGTGCAGTATTCGATTAGGCACAAAGCATAAGATACAACTGGTTTACAAAACAGTTGTTTTCATTTACATTGATACCTTAACTGAACAGTGCAGTATTCGATTAGGCACAAAGCATGAGACACAACTGGTTTACAAAACAGTTGTTTTCATTTACATTGATACCTTAACTGAACATTGCAGTATTCGATTAGGCACAAAGCATAAGATACAATTGACAAAACAGTTGTTTTCATTTACATTTCCCATGAAAAACATGCATTTTTTGTTTCAGTTCTGCCCTTTGGTGCGGGGGGATACCAGGTTTCTAGCCTCTACGGGGGGAGATGGTTGTGTCTGCTTCTGGCAATGGAACGTTGTCACAAATACATTCAAGTAAGTCCCAAGAAAAATATGGAATCCTACATTGCACAGGCAGAAAATTAATATGGATTTTAGTTTACAAGTTTATATATTTACAATAAGCAAACAGTGTTTGAAACTTCTTGAGAATCACATATACATTTTTCAAAACTGGAGTGTTAGGAATGAATTTTCGTATAATTCTGTGTTTCTGAACTTGTATTCAGTAGGCAGAAGATTAATTTGGATTTCAGTTAACTAGTTTATATAACGAATAAGCAGACCAGAAGTGTTAGAAATTCCTTGATAATCACTTAACAAATTTACTTTCATATAATACTGGATATTTCTGTACTGACATTTACCTTAGAACCTCATCTGCACAATTTGCATTTCAGTAGACTTCTGTAAGTCTCTAGTTATTGGCTGATTTCTGTTTAGTACAAATCTGTTATCTTTAATTTTTTGTAATTTCGAACTTGTTTTACATTACAGATTGTAACCATATTTCCATTATTTCAGCCACAAGCCCATCAAGTTTATAGAAAGGTCAAGGGCAGGTGCTCAAATGTTATGCTCATCGTTCAGTCCAGGTAAGCTCTTCTCTTCATATGAAAAAGTTGTTTAATAATATAGTTTCCACAAGTTTATAGTTGAATTGTGAACAATACTGTCATAGATAAACAAAAATCATATTTCAATTATTGACAGTTTTATATATCAAGTTAATTAAATGTAAAAAGAAATCGGAAAAGACACTTACAATTTGTGATTCTAAAAAAGTTTATATTTTAAATTGATTATATATTTTTGAGTGCAAACACTGTTTAGTTTTGAGTTTATAGTAATTTTTTCTATAAAATGTTTAAGTTTGTTGATGGTCTATCATATCAAAAAAAATTTATACTATTTTCTCAGTTTTATACTTAATGTTGTTGTTTTGAATCTGTTTATTATATTTTTCAATGTGAGATATTTTAGCATTAACTCCAAGATCTGTTAGACCATTTTGGCAGACAGGCCATTGGACTGATGCAGACATTTTCAGAAACAGTCGAACTATAATATCTGTTTACAGGAGGTTATTTCCTAGCAACTGGAAGCTCAGATCATGTGATCCGTATCTACGATTTCATTGGTCCCCAACCAGAGAAAGTTAGTGAACTGGAGTCCCATAGTGTAGGTACCCCGGGTGACCCTGAGCATCAGAGCCATCTTTTACTGGTTTTCTGTATTAATTTTTGGATTGCATGTGATTTAATATGTGATGGGCCAAACTGATTGAAATCATGTCAAAATGATATCTTTAGAAAAATATTTTACCATGATATTGAAAGCAGGTATTCACATAGAAATAATCATTTTGACATTTGCAGTAACTTGGGGCCTTGAAATTGTTGGGATTTGGGATAAATCTTGATTTCAGTCACGGAATTGACAAAGTTGTTGATGTTGCCATGGTGCTTTATCAAGATAGCTTCCAAATAAGGGAATTCCATCAGGTGGCAAAATATGACAAACATCTTTGAAAAAAGTAATCTTAAAACAATTTCTTTCATAGTTTTGCCACCAATGGCATTGTATCATTAGATTTTGGAGGCCTAAACATATCACAGAAATTGTTAATTGGCTTTGCTTGTGTACAAAAGAACGTTTTCTATTCTGGTGGTTTAAAACACAGCTGTGTGGAAAAAAGATTTGATCTCCTATTGGAGAAAATAGGTTATTGACTGCTATCTCTAAAAAATACTGATACTGTTGATTCTCCAAGGTCTAGTGATGACAGGTCCAAGTGACAGAACTGGGCAAACGTGCTAATATGTACATGGCCATGCTGTAACAGCTTTGTCTGTTTGACTTATTGTGAAGTGTAGGCTTGAATAATGATTAATATTCCTAATTTCTAATTTCAGATTAATCGATGCAACATGATCTACGATCAAATTACTGCTTTTCTTAACTTGATGGTGGTCATAAGTGTCTTTCCAAAGTATTGAAATGAAAATTCAGATCACCATTAAGTTATACAATATTGATACTTTCATAAATGTGCTTAATACAGGGTGTGACATAAGCATGAGGTCTATAGGTCAATGTTTGGTAAAATTTCACCACAATCTTATTTATAATGACATGGTATATGTAAAATACAATGATATTGACTTTGGCTTGTATTGCAATCACTCTTTTTTATTATAAATTTATTGTCATCGAGATCTTCATTATGAGAACTACCCGCTAATTTTTACAAAACCTGCCCTGAGGTTCATGACCAGGTCATTAGACTAGAAATATTTATGACACACCCACTTCCCATATATGGTTAACCAAATGTAATGCTTTTACCGAGTCTATTGATGTGAGTTGTTTATTCAGGCGGCATATTCCTGGCAACTGGTAGTTCAGACCAAGTGGTGAGGGTCTACTGCTACTTAGCCTTGCGGCAGGAAAAAGTGTGCGAACTTGAGACGCATCTTGTATGTATACAATTAATGTATAACATTACATAAGAGATATCTAAATGCAGAGGTCAGTATTTTTGAAAACTTTAGTCTGGAGTTTTCAAAAAACTGGCCCCTGGTGTCGTTTCAAAATCATCATGTCTGTGACACATCTTGTCTTGAGACACATCTTCTATGTATACATTCCATAAGAGATATATAAATACAGGGGTCAGTTTTTGTGAGATTTTTATGAGCTCACATGGTGAGCTATTGCAATCACACGCTTGCTCAGAAGTTTTTGCATAACTGGCCCCTGTCATTTCATAATCATCATGTTTGTCAGTTCTCCACCTCATAGTCATGTTGAAATGGGTCAGTAAGGATATATTCTCAATTTTAAAGCAGAAGTGACCTTGATGACTTATTCATCCTTTCAACAGCTTTTCAGCTTAAAACCCTCTACAAAAAAATTTGCATAGAACATACAGACATATAGTATGTCTTTGTAGAGTCAAAACCTTCCATTTCCTTGGTTACTCTTAACTCAGTTTCATTCTGCTCTGCTTTGCTTAACCATGCAAGCTTTTTGACCCATTTCATACCACATGGCATCATTATGTGAATGACATGTATATAAAAGACATTTCATTCTATCCTCTACAACCATACATGTATTTGTGTTGAACTTTGTCTGTTTACATCATTAGGATAACCTGTAGCTCATAAAGTGGTGGACTGTGATGTATTGCCTGAAATCTCATCGACCAGACTGTTTGAATGGTTTAAAACATTTCACATAAAAATAGTAATAATTTAGTTAATTTTGAAGAATCCCTACTCAGTAAAAATTGCCTGAAATGGCCCAAGACAATTTTCAAAAATATCAAAAAGTTGAAGATAATGGAATATTTTAAGAATAGTTCATAATTTTTCATTTTCCTTTCAAACAGTCTTGACATGTCACATACAGGGTGACCCATTATTGCGTTTTTTTATTTTTGATTGATCTACAAATGTTAAAATTACACACTCTAAGTGTGGATCACCCTGTATATATTAATCATAAACATCTTTCTATTTACAGCACATATATTTTATTTTGATAAAAGTATTCTAAAAACAAATGTATATTCATTTTCCTGTTTGCCCCACACTTTCACACTATGCTTTTCTAGAAATCAATTCATTTGTGTATCTGATTATTCATTTAGAACTATTGCATATTGTTTGTATTTCATGTTCATCAAATATTCTTGAATGTTCATCCAGTAAATTTGAATGATCATAAAATTCCTTTTAATATATCTTCAGATGTATTTAATTATATGTTTATCATAAGTAATTACATTTGTACCTAATTTCTAGATAATGTACGTTTTAATTCTTAGAGATAACTTAAAAAAATAATTACGTAATAATTTTGTAATTCATATATAAGTGAAATCAGCATCTAATCTTTGAGAAAAGTACACAATAATTACATGTACATTTGTATATCTGTTTTTAATATTTGGACTTGTTTGAAGTTTAGAAAGCAAGTTTGTAAATTGTTGTATTTTAAGCAAACAGAAGTATTTCATTAACATGCCAGGGGAAAATCAAAAATTAAAATATTGCTTAAAATAGCATTTTATTGCCCTGTTGAAGTTTGTTTTACCTTTGTAAATTGTGTAAAGGATGAAACATCAAGATTGTACATTCTGTTTATAGGATAGGGTAGATAGTATATGCTACAGTAACCATGGTGATAGATTTGTAAGTGGAAGCCGAGATGGCACAGCAAGAATCTGGCGGTATGAACGTCAGGATTGGAAGGCCATTATGCTTAATATGTGCAATAAAACAATAAAGTAAGTTTAATATCAAACAGTCGTGATTGGTCTATATAAATATTCATATATTAAAGGGTGACGCATATCGTTTAGCAAATCGAACGCTCGTTTCTGGTGTTGCTCACCGTTTGGTATAAAAGGCCCGATCCCGGAATAATACTCAAGGGTTCACAGGTTCGAGGTCGTTGTGTCAACACCTCTAACTGTTATATAGCATATATAGCATAGCATATTATAGATCGTCACACATTTATAAAAGGGTGATTTTTATTTTGACAAATCAATTTCACATTTATGGGTGAAGTTTCAGGATCTTCTATTTGTGTACAATAAGGAAAAATTGGCATCTAAATTTCCCCATAACGTAATAGCACACAGCTTGACATATGAAATATCCTACAAATGAAACAAAGCAAGACAAACCGGTTTCTAATACAAGGATTTATATTGGCTGTTGTACATGTATTCTTTGAACGCAATCACTCTTTGGATAACGTTTTCAAAATCATTATAAAAGGATTTCTTTATCTCAAAGACAATTTCAATAAACTGGATTTTACAGAACTCCCCTTATTTCTTAAAAATGGACTGATCCAGTTGATTCGCCTGGAGCCGCCATATTGTTTTTATACGGGATGCTAATCGGAACCCTTTAAAGTGTTTTTCGACTTTAATCTTGATTTCTATTTACATATTTCTAAATCTTCTACTCTATTATGCCACCTCCAGAAGTGGTGTCCTATTGTTATAGAGTGTCTAACTTTTTTGTGGATGGTGTTTGGTGGTTGGTGTTTGGCATCTGTAAAAAATGGCAGGTGGTGACATTTGCATGTTAATGCCTTGTTATTACAATGGAAAAGGATTTAAACCTGGTACTCAATGAATTGGAGATGATTTAAACCGTGTATGTCTTGTATCAAGCCTTTGAATGAGGGTGGCAGCAATTTCAATGAATCTAAAAATATCATGCCTAACTATGTAGATGTTATCTCGTGTTTTGCAGTAGTATTTCCACAATGGAGGGAGATGATAAAACAAAATATAAGGTTACCATGGTAGCATGGAATACAACAGATGATTACGTGGTTACTGCTGTTAGTGATTGTTCAATTAAAATATGGGACTCCCACAATGGCAAACTTTTACATATGCTTGAGGTAAGAGTCTCTTTCTTTTAAAATGCCAATTTAGGAGGTCAATATACATTTGTTCTTAAATCCAATAAACTATTTTTGTTGCAACGTTTAACTAATATAATATATATATAACCCTAAACGACTTAAAGTATACTAATGTCTCAGAATTAACTTTTTGTTAATTTCTTCAATTTACTGAAAAATACAATTCTGTGCTAGACACAAACTTAATACATTTTGTGCAAACACGTTTACCTATACTGAAAAATAATCACACATAGGAGTTATCTAATTTACAGAGTATGTACTTACCAGGCCCTTGCATACATTGATCATTTCAGGTTTGGCTTTGAGATGATCATACCATATCATGTTTATATCATGCTCATATGCCCTAGCAATGATCAGGGTTGTTGAGGTCTAGTTAGTACCTATACATGGAGTGCTAATTCCTAAGGATCCCAGTGCTTTTAAAACCTTTATATGGGATAAATTATGACTATGTGTCCATTATAATGATATAATGATTGCAGGCTCATACAGAAGAAGTATTTGTGCTGGAGGGAAGTCCCAAAGATCCCCGTGTCTTCCTGAGTGCTGGTCATGATGGCCACATCATACTTTGGGATATCCAACGAGGGATCAAGCTCAAAAGTTTTTTCAACAGTGTAAGCAATATAGTCATTTCATCATCTTCAATTTATTTTAATAACATACAGTATAGGCTATTAGTATATTATATGGCATGTTACACATATTGTTTATTCAAATGAAGTGAATATGATTAATATCTAGGGAGCAGGTTATCCAGCATATTCTGAGTCTCACCATTATGGAGGCAAGCTCCACCTTTCTAAGGGTAGGCCTAATGGATATCCTTTTGGCCAAGCAGATCTAAGCTAGAATAAATGATCTTTTCCCCATATAACTCTATGTAGAGCCAAGCTCTGTATAAAACTCTTGTGTTTCAGATTGAAGGTCAAGGTCACGGAGCTGTATTTGACTGCAAGTTTGCTCCTGATGGCTACAGTGTTGCTGCAACAGACTCTCACGGACATTTGCTCATGTTTGGTTTTGGCTCAGGTGAACATTTCAAAAAGGTAAGATATAAATGTTTTTTGGAAGCCTATGTACCACATTTTGTCAAGGTTTATGACATGACTCCAAAGGAGCAAAAAACATGGGATAGTAATCCAGAGGTTGATAGAAAGAGGATGTAATATAGGCGATGAAGCAATGGAAGGTTGAGGAAGTCCATACTAAAATTTAACAGGAATCTGAGTACATAAGTTTCTATAAATAAAGTCTATTTTATATTTAAAGACAATCCTGATATGAAGATGCAAGGCAGTACACACAACAATCTATTAATTCTGCAAAACTTTCAATGAAGTATTAAAAAAAAAAAAATTAATTTTGAATTTCAGGTGCCTTCAGAAGTGTTTTATCACACAGATTATCGCCCACTTATGCGGGATAGTAATAATTATGTCCTGGATGAGCAGACACAACAGCCACCACATTTAATGCCACCGCCATTTTTGGTTGATATGGATGGGAATCCCCATCTGACAAAATATCAACGTCTTGTTCCTGGAAGGGAAAGGATGAAAGAAGAAGCGTTGATCCCACAGATGGGAGATACTCCAAGTGGTAGGTGGATTAGAGAGAGGGATTTTTCAAAAGAAAATTCTTAAAAAAATTTCCATGATGTTATGTTAGGCAGCAAATTTTGTTAAAATTCTGTTTAAAATGAACACTAAATGAGTAAAAGATATAGCGATCAATATTTTTAAAAAATCATGAAAATTGAAAGTACAGAAAAACATTTTTGATAAAGGAGAAGTGAAGTCTGCATTTTTTGTAAAAAAATTCAACAAATTGCCTATTAGGGCATTATTTTGACAAATCAGTTGACTAAAAGAATATTAAATATAAATATCTTGTTCCAGGTGATCGTGAAGTATTGGACCAAGCAGTATTCTCCCCAGAGCCCCAGGGTCCAGAGGGCACCCCAAGGGGCCAGGAAGGCACCCCTAGGGCAGACATGAACCTTGATGATATTATACTTAGAATGCAACAGGAACAAGATCGTCATAATCACATCCCAACTAGTCCCCCACCACAGAACAGAACCAGGTCACGTTTAAGTAAGTTGACTTGATCATTTAAGAAAATTTCTTACCTGATATTATGAATTGGAAAGAAAATATAATTGAGAAATAGCTTCACTCTTGATATGTTCACCCCTGCTGATTTTCAAAAATATTGTTGCTAATAAACGATATAATGCCGTCTGTGGACTTTTCCCCAACCTTATTTTATCCCATCTTGAGTCAGTTTAACCTATGTTTATCTCAAGCAAACTTCTTATAAGTCAGAAGACTTTTGCTTAGATCTCCTGCTTTCAATTTTACCACATTTGGTCAAAAGCTTAGATATTCGAAATTGAAATATATGAAACATAATTTCAGCCTCAGGGAATCGGGGACCCAGGCGTACTGGGGAGGTTGAGGGGGTCAGGCAGGCTACAGGGGATGTACCTGTATCCCAGAGGGCAACGCAGCGTGACTTAGCAGCATGGAGTAAACGTGTGGTTGTTGGGGAAGTGGACCCTGCTGTGCTCAAGTAGGATTTTGCTTCTTATGCATTTTAATGTGGTTCGTTTGCTCAAAAACATTGATAATTTTTGTAAACATTTTATTATTCAAATTTACAATTTTGAGAAAAGCACTTGGATAACCCTACAAATTTTTGTGCATTTGGAATAATAATAGCTACTAGATTTCTTGGATGATTTACCTGAATTAATTTTTTGTAAATATTTTGTGTGACCACTTTATACAGGATGACCCAAAAAAGCAGAGCCCTTACCCTTTATTCAAAGGTTCTGTTTTTTTGGGTCACCTATACAGATGAAGTTTGGACACACTTGTGATTTTGACTATGACCATTGATATGTCCTCACTATTGGTCATTATACTTCTTCATTGCAGACATTGTGAAGATAGGCGCCAACTTCTTGCTGAAGAAGAAATCAAAAAATTTGTTACAGAGAGAAGGAAGAAACCAGTGGTTCTTGATGGGGTAATTATTTTGAATTACACGCATATATGTATTTTTATATCACCTCCGCAAGTGGTTACACTTTTTGTGGTCTGTTACAAATGGCAGGTGGTAACATTGTTCACAAAATTTTTACTTGTTTCATCTGTAAATCAGTATTACTATTTGTTCAAAAGTTTAATATGGAAGACAATTATTATTTTGAATTGAATTGAACATTGAATTGTTTTTGCTTACATTTTGTCTTCTATTCATTACAGACAGACTCAAGTGACAGTGGATTTCATCGTGTTCGTACACGCAAACGTCAAGACAACCGCAGGACACGTACACGTGAACGAGCAGCTCAAAATGAAGAGACTGGGCGGAACAGATTGACTACCAGAGCCCTCTATGATACAGAGGAAGAAGAAATGAGTGAAGGGGACACATCTGATCCTGAGGTTGCCCCAGATGATGCTTGGGACAGTGATAAAACAGAAGGGAGGTATGAAAAATCAATTTTCAAGGTTTAGTCCGAAGAAATGTTACCATCAGATAAGTTATTAGTCGCTATTTTGGGACAGAGAGAAAATGAGCGGAAAATTTGCTAACTCTAGTTTTGTAACTTATATCTCATATAAGAATCGTATGCATTGGCAAATATTTAATTCCTTGAATTGCAGTGAATCTAGCGACTATTCTGATTGGACGCCTGATGCTGGTATGAATCTCCAACCTCCAAAACGATCAAGACGTTTAATCAAACGCAATAAAAAATACAGCGAGTCAGATCAAGAGGATGATGATGGTCACGAAGATGAAAAAGTCAACATCGAAGATGACGATGATGAGGCAACTGAGATTGATGAACAACATAAAGAGGAACGACCAGTAAAGAAAAAGAAAACATTACAACCAAAAACTAGACCTCGTAGAAAGAAAACCACGAAACAGGTTAGCTGCTTTTAAAAAACATGATACCTGTGTTGTACCCTACATCTTCTATAAGCTGGGGATACAATTTTTAATTCATCTTTTAAAGAAATGTAAAAACTGGTCAAAATGCACATACAGTACTTGATGTTTTTCAAACTCTTACTAAGCGTAATAGCGTATATAGCGTAATCTTCAGTTCATACAAATAGAACAATTTTTAATTTATATCCCAAACAATAATCAATGAAAACAATATTTACCTGCATAAATGGATGGATGAAGTGAGTTGTGAATCAGTAATATAAAGCATTATAAATAAAATGCATGGTTCGTGATAGAAACCTTAATATAGCAGTATATGATTGTGTTCTATTTCAGCAACATCTAGCAATACAAGGTTCCCCACAAGAATTACCTGAGGAATTCAGACCCCCCGAATGGCTAACAGGTACCATACCAAGGAAGGCCCCTTATGTGCCTCAGATGGGAGATGAAGTCATATATTTCTTCCAAGGTCACCAGGTGTATGTGAATGCAGTTAAAAACCATAAAGCTTATGATATCAACCCAAACAAGGGCCAACCTTGGCATAAGCTTAAACTTAGGGTAAGTTCATAAAGGCTACATATTAAGAAGTTTATATACAGGGTAACTCCTGAGCGACTGCAGGAATAGAGGGAAATACACATATTTCAAGAGAAATAACCATGTATCTAGAACGTACTACTTAATGCCATGAGATCATACTCTTATGTCACTGTATCACACTAAATAAAAAATATTCACACATTTTCATTTGATTTAGACATAAAAATGCAAAAACTGATTTTAGGAGCAAGAGCTAACCAAAATAATAGGAATAAAGTATGAAGTGAAACCTCCTAGACTCTGTTGTCTGAAGTTGGCTATTATAGAACCAGATGGCAAGATGACAGGAAACACATTCACCATCAAGTAAGAATCAGTGTTAAAATGTTGTCAGTAACGCCTTTCACCAACATGTAAAGTATTAACATTTATGCAATTTGTAAGAGTGTTTTCTTTTTCTTGAGGGGATTGAAATATTATTAAAAAATTTCAACATACAATACTAAATGGTCATGACTCACTTTACTTGCCTTAGAACTCTAAAATCATGTTCTCTGTGATTAGCATGGGTATTACATGTAACATCTTAAAATATAAAGTAAAAAATCATCATCAGTTTTCATATGTTCATTCCAATTGAAATGTTTCCTGATGTTGCAACCTCTTTGTTTATTAAAGATACCATGACATGCCAGATGTGATAGACTTTATCGTTCTACGTCCTAACTACGATCTTGCCATGAGTCGGAACTGGAAACCAGGTTTGTAGCTTTCAGTATTCTCATTAAAATGACATTCAGATACAGTTATTACGTCACCACCACATATTGTTATAGCCTCAAACTTTTTGTGGATAGTTGTTGGTAGTTGGTGTTTGGCAGTTTGTGTTCTGCATCTGTTACAAATGGCAGGTGGTGACATTTTGCATGTTAATGCCTTCTTATTTCTTTACATAACCTAATATATGAGAATGTTTTTTAAGTTCTTTGCACACAAACAAGATCTTTTGATATACTTATGCTTAGTACTTGTCCCTATTGTCTTTCATCAAGTCCCATGTGTTACTCCAACATTCTTCCAAAAAACAAATAAAATTGAAGATAGGTTGGGGAATGAGAGAGTTGATCCAACCTTGTATTGTAATTATTTGTAGGAATGAGGTTCCGCAGTATGATAGATGACTGTTGGTGGATGGGAAAGATAGACTCCCATGAGCCTTACCAAGAGGAGTATCCAGATAGTCAGTTCCAATGTCTTCTAGTCACGTAAGTACTCTGGGATGTAGACTCCTGCTTTGTTAGATTGCAAGATAGGATACATTCATGTCATTTGATTTGCATTATGGGGTTAGATGGGATCTTGCGACTTATACAAAGTCTCCTTTTGGAAATGTTCTTTTAATATATATTATTGTATTGAATAAAACATGATAAATAAAAAAAAGATGGGATCTTTAGGCTTGACTGTTTAATTTTTGAAAGCATATGTTTTCCTGAGAAAAATGAATTGAAAAAATATTGCACTTCTAGGCATTACAAAATGTAAATGGCTTTACCAATACCAATATAAGACAAACATGAACATTGTAATGTGGAGGTAGCTTACAAATACTTTTAAGCCTAGGCCCATGAAAAAATATCAAATTCCTTGTTTGTAGATGGGATAACAGAGAGAAAGAACGGATGAGCCCCTGGGATTTGGAACCTATCAATAAAAAATGTAAGCTTTTCATGTTTTTTTTTGTTATTTAGATAAAGCTAATGTTGAACTTGAAACTTTTAGTTTTGCTGATACATGTAGCTATTTTGATGTTTTTGTGTAGTCCTTTGGAAAAGTATCACTCCTACTAAGCATGTATAATGTACACAGATATATCTGAAACATTTTAATTCATAGTAAATTTACAGAGAGTTGTGAAAAGAAAATTACTGTTCATTAAAATTAAATAAGAATAGCAATTTAAAGAAAGGTTACAAATTATGGCTAACGGTTTCATAATTCCTCCGTTCGGTCAGTTCAGGGTGTTTATCTTTTCGGTTTGGCTTTTCAGTTCTTATGGCACTTTAATGAAAAAAAATCAGATAACTCTTGAAACTTAAACTTCATCTTGCAAAACAGACTTCCAAGACTAAGATTTAGATATATGGATTTGTGTGAATAATTGTTTTTATTGTAGATCTACCCTCAGAGGTAGGGAGCAGTATTCCAGTCAGTGCAGAAGAATTAAAGTCACTCATGTTTACACCAAAAGATTCTGAATGGCCGCCTTGCGGTCGCAATCGTGAATGTTCCCGTATCGCTCATGGCCTGGAAACCATCATGAATCTCAGCATCGCAGAATACTTTTCTGCGCCAGTCGACTTGAATGCTATACCCTTATATGGCATTTGTATAGCGTATCCTATAGATCTGAACACAATAAAGGAGCGTGTGGAAAACCATTTTTACAGGTAGAGAAAAAGTAGGGAATTACCCAGAATTCAAAGATGAATCTATATTCATGCGAAGGTGAACTTAAATGTTCAAATTTGAATTCCAGATTATTTCGCCCTCTGTGGTTGATTTCTTTCTGAAATTGTAATTCTAATTTGTTGGATACAGTAACATCTACTTTTAAATAGGAAAAAAATTATTACTATAACCTTCACATCAAAATGATATCACAACTAGCTAATTACATCAATCTGTAGAATTTGATTTATATTGTTGTTAGGCGTGTCACCTCCATTCTGTTTGATGTTCGTTACATTGAGAGCAATGCCAAGGCATTCAACCAGCCCAACAGCCTCATTGTACGCAAGGCAGCTTTAGTGACAGACCTATGCCTCAGATTTATCAAGTAAGTATGTGTGCTTATGCAAAACCTGATGGAATATGCCAAATCTTTTTTATTGGACGTTGAATTATAAACTGGTATGGTATACTAGTTCAGTGAAACCTGCCTTAGTAAACACCTCTCTCTAGTAAACACCTGCATTTAGTAAAAACCACTTCGAGACACATTTTACATTCACTGCTGTATACAATCCTCTATCTTTAGTGAACACCTACCAACAGTGAACACTTTTTGTGGCTACATAGCTGTTCACTATAAAAAGTTTCACATTTGCGCTATTATTTTTTCAGTGACAGTGAATGTCAAGATCCAATGCCTCTCTACCATGATCTAATAGCAGATGCCGACTTGGCTGAAGATGCTAATGGTGCCAATGAAGAGAGTGATGAATTTAATGGTGACACGGTTGGGACCAGAAAAAGGACAAGGGTATGAAGTTAAGCTTTACCATGAATTAAGGGCAGCAATGTTGGACTTTCTAGAAATTAGGTTTGAATGGAATGTTGCTTGAATGGAATGTTGGGACCAAAGATTTTTGAAACCTTGTCACAATTTTTATGTCACCACCTGAAATAGTGACTTATTGTTGTAGTCTTGTGGATTGTGTTGGGCGGTCAGCATTCAGTTAGTGTTCGGTGATTGTTGTTTGTAACAAATGGCAAGTGTTGACATTTTGCATGTTAATGCTTTGTTTAGAAAGTTACTCTCAACTTGTTTTGAGTCTTTGTTGACCCTTTAAAGCATTCCTCTAACTCTTTGTTAAAAAATTATATGGAATGTTTTCCAAATTAATGTTATAAAACTTAGTCATTTAGTTAGATCCTCTTCGGAAAGTAATTTGTCAAACAGAACAAGATGGGATACTTGATATCATTTTTTGACAAGGGATGTGAGAATGTACATGTCCTCAAATAGCCTCACCAATCATTTCCTCTCATTTTAATTTTCATCACATGTGATTTATTTGCAGCGTAAGAAGAATAAGCCAGTTCCTACAGATCCTCATGCTTGGTTACAGGAATGTGGAGATCTCTTGGAAACAATGTTCGAATGTGATGACTCTAAACCATTCCGACATCCAGTAGACCCACTAGAATACCCAGTAAGTAGTAAAAGTAATTTTTCTTTAGTTTGTCAGTGAGTGTATTTTTTCCAATGAACAAGTTTGGTAGGGATATGGTAAAGCCCTCCATCAATTTTTCTGTTTTCTGTTTAAATACCAATGTAAAGATGTATATCATTTGATGATGTAAGATGTACGCCTCTTTGAAAATGGTTGAGGTTATTTGTTAAAATCTTAGTTCTTCCGTTTCCAACCAATGCAATGAAAATTACATTTTCCAACATTTTAGAAGTTTATCTAAAAAATAGATCCTTTTCACATTAGTTCATGTTTTTCACCTGACCATTTTGTACTTATTTAATAGACTTTTAGCAGTTTTTTACATCCTTATGAAACTAGATGATATAATTATCGAATTGGTTTCCAGGATTATCGTGCAGTGATAGAGGTCCCTATGGACTTGGGTTCAGTGCGAGAGCAGTATCAAGCAGACTGTTATAACTCACCCATGGAGTTTGCGAAAGATGTCCGCCTTATATTCTCAAATGCAAAACAGTTTACCCCAAATAAAAAGACAAGAGTAAGTGAATCCTGGCTGTAATGTTAACTCTTGAATGAATTACAGAACTTTTTTCATTTTTTTCTTTGCTTTTGCCATATTCTTGTACAATGTTTGTTGTCGATTTGGTAATACCACTGAACATAGAAACATTTTAATACATACTTTGTGTTAAGTGAACACAGGTAGAGTTATGTAAGTGAAAAATTCTGGTTTTCACAGAGTTTTAAGTAGGCTAAGTGAAACATATTATGTCAGGCTGATTACTTTGGACATTATACATGTAGGCTGGCATTTTGATTTTAGGTGCAAACATATCAAACACTGGTATGTTCTTGATATGTCCTGTACCTCCTATATTCTGTGTTGATCATAACTAATCTTTTATATTTCGATTTTACAGATCTACTCTATGACATTGAGGATGTCTGCGATGTTTGAAAACTATATAGAAGACATTATATCTGACTGGAACTATGCTAAAAAACATGCCAAAAAAGATAAGGGGACGAAACCATGTAATAAAAAGTGAGATGCCATTCTTTTAGATTGGTATAGAAATTGTTTAAGATGGTTTTATCTGTGATACATGTTAACGTAAAAGACATTTTGCCTTTGTCAATAATTAGGAAAGTATAAATTCAAATCTGATTATCTGGATTTTTTACAAAATTAATTTTGATAAGTTTTAATAAAGCCTTAAGATGATTTACATGTAGTTATGTACTTATCTGTATGATTCTTTATCTCATTTCAGATTTGTCAGACGAAAAAGTAAACGCTCAATGGGCTCCAATCTTAGTGCCAAGAAATCGTATGAATCTACCTCCGGACCATCTACTGGTCACAACAACGATGTGTCATCTACCTCACTCTCACAAGAGGGCGCTGGGTGTAGCGGCATATCTACACGCTCAAGATTTTGTAAATCCAAAGCTCAGAAGTTTCCGGAAAGTTCTGGCTCAGATACAGAGGACTATGATGCTGATAACAATGAGAAAGCTGACACTGTCACTCGTAAACCAATTCTCAAGCTCAAAATTAAACGCTCAAATGGTAAGATTTGTTCTCACTTGTGCCGTTGTAGTAGGGTTTTTGGCATTGATTGGATTAATCAGTTATCAACTTAAAAATTAAGAAATAGAGAAAAAAACTTATTTTAAAAGAGAATATGAAGTTTCACTTTATTTATTGAAATACCATCCACTGGTCACAACGACGTGTCATCTTCCTCACTCTCACAAGAGGGCGCTGGGTGTATACAATTTCACTTCTCCATAAAACTTATTGAAATAAACTATTTGCATATTATTTCCATATCATTTTTTATTTAGTTATTTACAATAACAATTACAATTTACAATGTTTTTTCATGTCTGTTTTTTATATTCCTGGCTAATTCCACTGTTTTCCATCCTAATTTATTTAGATTTTGTAAGCATACTATATCATTTCTCTTAAAGCAGTAGTTTTCCGAGAATTTCTGACTATTGATTCAGGGTATTTTTTTTTTTTTCATTTTTTTTTTCAATTCAATTTTATTTATTTCATAATTCTTATATAATATACACTATAAAAACAAGCCGCTAGACACCCTAGTGGGTATATGTTGCGGTTTAACAGATATTATTAAAATGACATCTAGACTACATATAAAAGAAAACACTTATATTATGTTACATGTAGGTATATAAAAAATGGTATTAACTTTCTAAATGGGTTAAATTCTGTATGATTGCAGGTGCTATTGTAACCAATGGACATAATAATAATTCCCGCTATGCAACCCGCTGTGCAACTGGTAGCCTCAAACCAAAGAAACTCACCTCATCTGATTCTGATGAAGAACCAGAAAAAGACAATGATGTAACAATACAACATTCGGAATCAGAACTTGAACACTCTGGGACAAGTTCAAGCTCAGAGTCTGAGTCAGATCCAGCCACTCCGTTTCCTAGTCTCAAAAGGAAACGAGTTCATCAGGAACCAAGTTCGGAAAATGACGATTCGGATTCTGACGTGGATTATCAGCATAATACTCGCGCATCTTCTCGAATTGCATCTAAGTCAACTCTCTCATCTCGTGTAAATAATAATAGCTCAATAAAATCGCCATCAAAAAGGAAAGCCAGTTACGAACTTGATGATACTTATCTGGCTTCCGAGGATGAAAATAGACGCTCACGTAAACGTGGCAAAAGAACGACACGTAATCAAGGTAAAAGGACGGTGCATTATGCGGAAGATAGTGCGGAAGATTTAGAACATTTAGATAATGAGTATGAAACTGGGACGAGTGTTAGTCGGAGTGGGCGTACTCGAAGGTTAACCGCCAGGGCAAGGGCTCATCTGGTGGGCGTGTAACCCTAGTTCATGCCCTTGCACGATACGCCATACAGTCATGTCACCCTAATTCAGTAGTATTTGGAGTAAAAAAGTATAAATTATTTTACAAAATATAAAAATTGCTCATTTCTTTATGATAATAAGTAGACAGTAGGTTATATTTTTATTGAGTTGTAATCCAATTCTTTCTGTATACTATTTTGAAAGGGTTATCATGACTGCGATGATTTTTCTTGTAAGGGTGTGAAATATATCAAAGATCTCATTTTTCATCAAATAAAGAATTAGTCAGCAGTTGTAAATAAGTTTTGGAAACTGTTTATGGACTGAGTACAAAAAGGGATTAGGGTACCCTTATATTCTGTATATTAGAAAATGCTTGCACAATTGAATTTTTGAACAATTTCGAGAAAATTGTAAATGGATTAAAATGCACTGTTATATCTAATGTATTTACGAGGGAATTCCTTTTACATTTTTAATTGGCTGATTTTGAATCAGATTTTCACATATTGATTTATGAATGAAATATTGTGTTCATTCTAATATGAGCAGTTGTCAATTATGTTGACCAAAATCAATTCAATTTATTTAACTGTTGTGTTTTGTCCATAATTGTTCTGCAATCTATGCCACTCTTAAACCTCATGTTTAATTCTGCTTATATCATATACTGTGCTACAACATTCATGAAATTATTGAAACTGCGAATACATCTATTAACCACATATACTGTGTAATGTGTAAGAATGTTCTTAAGGTAGTTCTGCCTTTTCAGAAAAATTGAGAAAAATAATTATTGGAAATGTCATTTCAACATCGTTTTAGCATTTTTTTTTATTTTGTACTTTGTTTTCTATCATAATATGTAAACATTGACATAAAATTTTGAAAAAATCCCATTTCAATAAATATTTGGAATTGTCATAAAAATTACATGGAAATTAATATGCAGAACTACCTTGAGAGGAACATTTTGTGTGTTGTCATGGAGAATGTAGATGACTCAGGCAAAACAGAACAAAACTTCTAAAAGAAATTTTGAGACAATTATTGTAAAACTTGTCTTAGTGATCACCTCTCTATTCTAGTTATGGTGAGCACCTCTCTCTTGGTGAACACCTTTTCCAAATGAACAAAAAACGAACTGAATGAATGTTCTCTGAACACCACATCGACTATATTAAATACCTCTATGGCTGTACAGTGAACCTACCCTCATTAAACACCTTTATGACTCGAAATGTGTTTGCTGTCCACGCCCACATGTACTCTATGGCTGTACAGTGAACCTACCCTCATTAAACATCTTTATAGCTCTAAATGTGTTTGCTGTCCACGCCTACATGTACTCTATGGCTGTACAGTGAACCTACCCTCATTAAACATCTTTATAGCTCTAAATGTGTTTGCTGTCCACGCCTACATGTACTCTATGGCTGTACAGTGAACCAACCTTCATACACCTTTATGGCTCTAAATGTGTTTGCTGTCCATGCCAACATGTACTTTATGGCTATACAGTGTACCTACCCTCATAAACACCTTTATGGCTCTAAATGTGTTTGCTGTCCACGACCACATGCACTCCTGCAGTCCTGTATATATAGCTGTGATGTAACAGTATAATTGGAAATGATGTATAATCTGTATGATTATGCTTCCATGTGTCTGTAGAATTATTGCAAGTTACATTTACACCAACAAAAACATTGTTGATTTTTATCAAGATATTTTTTCTACAGAATAATTATATATTGCTATAATAAAATCACCTGAAATATTTACAAAAATAGTTTGTTTTTATCATTTTTTATTTTTTATGGTTTGGGGATGATCCTAAATCTGACATAACAATCAATTTCTTGACAATTAAATTTTTTATTATCAAAAATGCAAATACAAGTTCAGAAAAACTTACAGTACATGCTTTCTACAAAAGTAGAAGTATAATTCAGAATTTGTGTAATACATTTTGTTATAAATAGAAGTATAAGTATCAATAGTAGCCCTAATATATAATAAGGATATATTAGCAGAAATTCATAAGACATTATAGCATGTAGACATGGAATTGGTGAAACATATTTGGGGAAGAATGGAACTTCACTTCCACACGTTGCATTTCTGATTCAATGGAATACATTTGTAAAAAATAAGACCAAAAGGTGCCGTACAAGTAAAATAAATTAAATCCAAAATGATCACTTTGTGATGTACACTCTGCATGCATATATACATCAGTGAAATAATAGGAAGACAGTTGAAAACATTGAAATTAGTAACATCTCATTAAAATCAAAATAAAATAAAAGAAATACATGTTAAAATAAATACAATTTTCTGCATTCTTTAATACAATCAATTTACCACTACGCCAATGTGCAATGGCCTTATTTAACCATCCTCATTTATATAGTATAAAACAATTGTAATCCATTATTTTCATTCATATACAATATGTAAGTAAAAAGGTTCCAATAAATAAATATTATACAAAGAAAAATATACATTTGAAAAAAATTAAATGCTGCTGAAGTGGGGTTCTCATCAAGGTCATTTGTTACTAGGAGGCTAAATAATTGAGCCAACTGCATTTTAGATATGTTATGCTTCGATGAACCAATTTTTAAAGTTAATTGATTTATAACTGGCATTTCAGATCTCTAATTTTTCCAAAATAAGAAATTCTGTATTCACACGAAGATCATTCGTCATTATGAGGCTAAATAGTCCAGCCAACTGCATTTTTCCTCAACATCCCCAAATGGTAAGGAAATTGGTTTATAATTGGCATTTTAAATCTCTGAGTTTTCCAAAAAAAGAAATTCTGTATTCACACAAAGATCATGCGTCATCATGAGACTAAATAATCCACCCAACTGCATTTTATCTCAACAACCCCAAATGGTAAGGAAATTGATTTATAATTGCCATTTTAGATCTCACGCGTCATCATGAGACTAAATAATCCAGCCAACTGCATTTTACCTCAACAACCCCAAATGATAAGGAAATTGGTTTATAATAGGCATTTTAGATCTCTAAATTTTTCGAAAAATAAATTAAGGTCATGTATCATCATGAGGCTGAACATTCTAGTCAACTGTATTTTACACATACAGTGCTTCAAGAAACCCACATGGTAACTTAATCGATTTGTACCTGGCATCTAATTTTTCCAAAAAGGAAATTCTGTATTCTAACTTAGGTCATGTAGTCTAATGCATCATCATGAGGCTAAATAGTCCAGCCAACTGCATGTTACATATGCAATGCCTCAACAAACCCACATGGTAACTTAAATGATTTGTACCTGGCATTTTAGATTTCTAGATGTTAAAGTCCCATACTTTGATCTTATTGTCATATGAAGCACTTGCGATTCTTAATTCATCAAATGTTATTGCATTCACTTGTCCATGGTGGCCTTTGAATGTCTGCATGGAGGCATCTCTGCAAATGTCAAATAATAATTCATTAAACAAAGATTTAATCGCAAGAACCTATCCATTAGAGGAGGGATGATGCATCAAATGTATGGATTGTCAAATATCTAATAATGTATGATTGTTTGGAACTAGAATGATTCTCCAATGTTTGAAACGTATAGGTATTCATTAGGCTGTAATATGGGCTTCTACATAATTTACATAGATTATCAATTGTGTTTTCATTATCTTCCTTTTGTGAATTCTCTTTCAGCAACTTCACTGAGTACCGAATCCCACTGAACAAAACACATTTTATTAAATACCTCATAATTTTGGACATTACATAATAGAAATAAAACGGGCAACAAATCCCATGAGTATTTACATTTTTTACAAAAATGGTCATTTTGTATTAAGCAGCCATATTGAAAATTCCCTCTTGGGCAGAGGTCCTACACCCATAAGACAAAAGCCCATAAAATCTGATCCAAATCTGTTCACTGGTATTTGAGTAATCATCTCGAGAAGCAAACGGACAGTTGGCTTCTCTATATCCCTTAAAATTTTGTTCGGTGGGATAAAAATAAAATTGAAAGATAGAACATCTGAATGACATTTAAAAATCAATGTAACGGTCAAACATATGTTTTCTGTTAAATTGAAAGTAAAACTTCAAAGTTGAGATAACGTTGAAAATAAAATTTGATAGATAAAACATTTGAATGACATTTAGAAATCAACATAATGGTCAAACGTGTCATTGTCATTATGATAAAATCAATAGCTAAACTTCAAAGTTTAAATAATGTACACGCACTCTATAATATGTCATTAATCCGATGTTAACAATTCAGTGAATCATGCCTGTCAGAATTAGGAGTGCGGTCATAGTCCTTACAGTTGTGGTGGTTTTAACTTTTATGTACAGTATAGCTGTGCATGAATTCATTGCTTTTAAAAAAGTAAGGACAAACAACATCATAGATGCTGCTGTAAAACGTCTGACAGCTGATGAAATTCAAAAAAAATATATGATGGATTTCTCTGTAGAAGAATTAGAATCCCGAGTGCAGAAGGAAAGAGAAGAGATAGACAAATTGCCACTTGACATCAAAAGACATAGACTACCAGATGTGATACAAATTGGGGTATTTAAAGCAGGTACAGGAACGACAACCGAATGGCTTGCAAGACATCCACAGATTGAACTAGTCAAAAATACCGACACAGGTTTCTGCGCAAACTCATACAGTTATGCTGAATATGTAGCTCATTTTCCAGAGATCTCAAATGATAAACAAATATTTGAACGCGCACAATGCTATTCACGTCAAATGGCATTATACGAAAGGATGGCTGCTGCATATCAACAAAGAAACGTGAAACTTTTGATCGTCATCCGTGATCCAATAGATCGACTTATATCTGGATACATACAAAGCGTCCTTGAAAAAGACAAACACAAGTCTTTTGAGGAGCATATATGCTGCATGAATGGGACATTTCAAATGGACAATAACTGCAAATTCAGTACCCAAAGAAGCGTTTATGTTATTCAACTTGCAAAGTGGCTACAGGCTTTCCCGCGAGACAGCATACATCTAGTTGATGGAGATATATTTGCTAAAACACCATGGGTAGAACTTGAAAAAATTGAACGATTCCTTAAACTTGATCATTTTTACTCTGAGGATAGATTCCCTATCAACCCTGAAAATCCTAAATTCCGCTGCTTTATCAAATACAATGAAACAGAGCCCATTTGTATGGGTGTAGACAAGGGGAGGTCTCATCCTAAAATTTCAGAAGAAACAATACTGAAATTGAGGAAATTTTTCAAGCCCTATAATGATGAACTTTTTACCTTGGCTGGTCAGAGGTTTTCTTGGAGTGTAAACTACGATTAATATAACAACTGTAGAAATACTATAACAGCAATGTCAAGGTGTAGCAAATCTCAAGGTCATATCTGCCATTTTCAGAAATGGCCGCCTATTAGCCAAATTGTAAATAGACAATGTAATATGCTTCCAAGTATTCATATAAGAAATGTTCACAAAATTGCTCCTGTAATTATTCACTTATTGCAAAAAATGTAAAATAACACACATAAAAGTGAAATAAAAGTGACCGCCAGTTTTCATATTAGTCGCTCACTTGCCAAATTGTCATTTTTAAAATGCGTGGGCTTTTTCAAATGGCCGCTGTATTACCACCAAAGTATAACAAGACAGTGTACCATGTTTATCTCTGTATCCCCCGAACTTCATTTGATGGGATAATTAAACAGAAATATTAGAAATCCACATTCTCTGACTACAGAGTTCAATGGATGTAGTTTGCCCTTAGTTTGGACAATAACCATTGGGGGGAAAGGGGGAAATCTTACTGTGTAGTGTCCCAGTATTTGACCAGGCCATCCTTTCCTGCAGATACGATCATCCCTTCATCCTTTGAAAGATTACTCATCTTCAGTTGCACAGTTTCAATCCTGAAAAAACACATTGATTATGTAATAAACGAGGCATACAATGAAACTGAGCTCAGTTGTATGGGTGTAGAAAAGGGGAGGTCTCATCCTAAAATTTCAGAAAAAACAATAATATTAACATGCAAAAGTCATCAACATGCAAAATGTCACCAGCTGCCATTACAGCAGCCATATTGTTACAGTACTGAACACTGTCCACAAAAAAGTTGGAGACAATAAGAATATATAACCACTTATGGTGGTGACATAAACACTTGGTATAATTATTTTTTATCAACATTCAAACTTGATTTTAAGGTCTCGAGCAACAATATTATTTATTTTGCGTTTCATCATACCACAGGAGTATACATATACATGTACAGAAAAACCTGTGTAAGTGGAACACCAATTGTACCTCTAAAGAGTTCCACATGGGAGGTGTCTACTCAGAGGCTCATTTAACATTAGTCAATAAGCCATAGGACTATAAAGAGGAACACCTCTATAAGTGGAACACCTCTATTAGTGGAACACTTTATTGAGTCCCAAGACCAGCTGACTTAATGTCAAATGAACCTCTATAAGCGACACACCTGCCAAGTGGAACACTTATTAGAAGTACAATAGGTGTTCCACCTAGACAGATTTACTACATATGACACAATTACAACAAGAATATTTTTTGGACTTTGCATTTCTAATCACAATAGAGGAAAGTACATTTTTCAATGTAACCAACTTATGAAAGGAGAGTCCCCTGAAGTGAAAGCATTTATTTGGGATGTTTATTAGATTATTTCAGGGTAAAATCCTACCTTTTAGTATGTTCCTTATAGGTCTTTAGCAGGACTGCCTTCTTGGCATTGGTTTTGTAGAAACAGATGGTCTCCCCATATGTACAGGCTATATATCCTTTATAATAGCTGACAGACATTATTGAGGTTGTAGTACTGGCCCAGATCACCTTTTTCAGCTTGCCTGTCTCTACTTCCCAGATCCTTATACTCTGCAAAAACAATGAAATGTTCATCACTCACGTAAGAGTATATGTATATACCATGATAATTGTCTGATCAACAAAGAAACATAATTTTTTTGTAATTACATAACATTTACCACAGTGTGCACGTTTCTGAATGCAGTATCTGAAGGATGAGAGGGTAAGATAAAAGAATATATGGGTGAATTGAACGAAAGGTTGTTAACTGTAAAATGTACAAAATTAAATAGAAATAAAATAAATATTACAAAAAATAAATAAATAAAAAAATAAAATCATTCATTGCAGTGCTTTATTTGATATTCTGTAAAGAGGAAAATGTAAGGTACATTTTACTCAAATTATAAATCATTCTAATTGAAAGAGGGGTAGATAAATTTCAGCTCTTATAAAGGGTATTAATACACTAACTCTATCTGCTGAGCCTGTTATGGCTAAAGCTCCATCCTCACTGATGTCGCATGTGAACACAGCGGCATTGTGGCCCTTAAGTGTCCATAGTAACATACATCTACTGATATCCCATATCTTGCCCTAGAATAAGATAAACATAAATGATAACAGTCTACAACAGCTTTTCACATTTCATATCTTAGCCTAATAAGTGAAAAATTATGTTCAATTTCGCTTTGTATACGCTTAACTAATTATGGGTATAAGGCATTTGTACATCTCATTAATTTAATATCAATCTTATCAACTATTTTTGAAACATAAATATTTTTACAGTAAAACCCCTCCAAGTGGAACACATTTGGTTCCTCTAAAAAGTGTTCCACTTGGAAGGTGCTCCACTTAGATGTTCATTTAATATGAAGTCTGTTGGTCTGAAAAGTGTTCCACTGATGTTCCACTTTAAGAGGTGTATTCCACTTTTAACAGGTTTCACTATATTCGTATGTCCCAATTTAGCTTCAAATGTACTTTTATTCACTTTTTAGAGATAAGATTATTTCTTACTGTTCTATCCTGTGAAGCTGACACAAGTGTATTCCCACGTCTTGCCATTGCCCATACAGGCCCTTCATGTCCTAATAAAGTTCTTGCACACGTTCCAGATCTCAGGTTCCACACCTACCATGAAGAAAACACATTAGATTACTTCTATTTATTGGATTGTTTGATTTTTGCAAAGAAAGTAATTACACACAGTGATAAATATCGCACTCTGAAGAGCAAAATAGCCACCATGTAATTTACCCAGCATGCCTAAAATCAGATATGTTGGCACTTTCAGGGTGCTTAAAATCAAGATCTTGACACTTAAATTGACGCTTGCATCTGTAAAAATTTGAAGTTGAATGGATAAGCAGTTTCCTGGGATTTGATGATAAGATTAATGTCGCACATGCCCACCCATTAAACGCAAACCCATCAGCACAAGACGAAGACAATATATTAGTTTTTCAAAGTACAAAAGACATTAACATGACAAAATGTTCACACTTAGTTATTGGAAGTTGTAAGCATTTGTTACAGATGATGTATCATAACCGCAGTACAACCTCCACAAATGATGACTGGTTTTATATCAATTAAGGATACAAACCTTGATAGTCCCATCATTGCAGCCACTAATGAGCAGGTTCTTAGTGAAGAACTTAAGGCACCATATGCCCTTGTTGTGGCCCTTGAGTGTCTGCAGACAGGCTCCAGTCTTAATGTCCCAGATCTTGATGGTTCTGTCCAAACTTCCACTGGCAAGTCGCTTTTTGTCAAATGTTACAGAAAGGACACTGGAATCAAAATTTGATGAAACACATATAAGCATTCTCAACTAAGTGGGTATATTTTGCAAGGGTGACTCATTCATTCTTTTAGCACATATTTTGATCATCCAATGTTTGGTAGAAAAAGTTGAATATTGTTCCAGTATAAACTGAATTATATGAGGAGATTTTCATAAATATAAGGAAGTAAAAAAATTACTTATGAGTGTGTCCCTTTATATCTAAGATCCTGCATCTTCCCATCTCCCAGTTCAATTTGAGGTACATATTCTCCTTAAAGATCCTTTTCCAGTCTGGGTTACCACTGATTGGTATCTCTAGTTCAACTTCATCACACTTTGACGCCCAAAGTTCATTGTCATCTGATACTCTTGCCCAGGTCTTGCTCACCTTTAATGAGATATAGTAATGATCAGTTCATGTCGTTTTACGCATTTATGTAAGTGTACGATCTCCAGTTAATGTTGATGTGATGGTGATCGTTCCACACCCCTGTATTGTATCTCAAATGTTTCTTATGAGTAATAAATGACTTATCCTTTCCTGAACATGGCTGTTATGTATTTCATGAATATAAAGATTTTAAAACAAAATTCCAAAAAGTTATAATGTGAAAACACATTGGAGACGATTATTACTTAATTCTTATAAAGTACATGTACATACAAGTACATGTATGGACCAATAGGGCAAGTTCCACTAGTATAAGTTATTGTTTTTGCCACAATAGATTTGCAAATTACGCTTAGTTTCCATAAAATCAACATTCTTAAATTAGCATTTATCAACATGCTTCCCTTTTCAAGTGAAAATCTAAAAACTACTACATATTTAACTTGGTACCAAGAGGTTGTACACAAAGAGGGATCCCAATTTGTATTTTTCTTACCCTGCTGGCATTGACTAGCTCAACTGGAGAGAGGAAGCTGAGTATGTGTAGAGCCAAATGTGTTGGTAGTAATGCTATGAAATCTCTGTATTGTTTCACCTGAAAAAAAGTAATCAAATCATGATAATCAAGGTACATTCTTTTCTACTCTTCTCTCTTATACAATGTACTCATACAAAAAATTCAATATACTCAAACAAAAATACAAAGTATTCAAACAAAAATACAATGTTCTCACACAAAGGAAGCTTGATAAGAAGTAATGCTGTCGAGGGTCAAGTTTCAGGAGAGTTCTAGTCCAGAACTCATTTCTTCTTACATCTGCAAGAAAAGAAAAATGTAAGTTACATGGCATGACATCAACTTAGACATTTTGTGTGTTGACTTGAATAAGGTACAAAGAATTCTGAAGGTGATCACATTAATGTCTTTATTATAAGGCTTTGATATGTGCCTTGTTTATGCAATTTTGCCCAATATGAGTTTACAGGAAAGTTACATATCCAGAGTCTAATTGACAGAGGAAGCAGTATAGGTGAAAGCGCCAAGTGAAATAGCGCATACTTAAACTCAACAAGAACATGATGTGCATTTAATGCCCCCCTTTAATTTTCAATTAAAATACAACTTTGAATAGAACATTGAGAAGGAGGTGGCCTGTGTACCCAACAATTGAGCTTTAGGCTGCAGATGTGAACAGAAACAGAAATGTTGCATACCCGTCCACTGATCTGTGTACCAATGATAAAGCCTCCAAGCTTCTTCAGGAAGTTTAGAATTTGTGGGAAGACTGTCTGATCTGCTTCTTCTCTGTAATACAAAAAGGTAAGCAATCAGTTTCAATATTTTTGCATTCTTGATTAAATTTATTTTATCAGAACGCTCTCCAGTCATTTGATGTACAACTCTCCTGATTGAACAGCTCTGTGCTTAGTTTGGTCATAAAAAGCACAGTCCAAAATTTGATTTTCATTCTCCACTGAGCCAGTGTCACATAATACACAAAGTCTTTCCTTTTCTGGTAGTATTTTGAAGCATCCATTCTCAATTCGCAATGGTGCCACACCACATCATATACATTTAATTATTCTAGTTAAATATCTTTAAACAACTTTTTGAAGCAATCAGCAATCAGCAATTTTAAGGTTTTCAACCTCTAATACAACACTAAATTATAAAAAAAAAATTGTTTTTATCTTATAAACAGATTCAGAGGGGATGTTAAATACTCACATGGAGGTTTTGTTTTTTCTGTTTCCTATATCTTAAACTCTGGCTCAGATCCACAGAGGGCTGGTTCCTGAAGCTTTGAGAGTCTGTAATTGAGAACTGACTTGGCAATTCATTCTGTTGATCTTGTATGTGTCTTCTTACTGGCATGTCAACAAATCTAGAGAAATGAGGCAGAATTTAACATTTTAATTCATTTATGGGCTTAACTTTGGCTTTTGGCTATAAACATGAAGTAATGACATAAATCGGTCAAAGGAAAAAAGATGTTCCTTGAAATAATTTTCTCTAATGCATAGTTTTATATTATAATACAGTGGCAACTTTTTTTTCCTGAATTGGCTCAATCAGAATCTATTAATCTGATTTTAGCACTTTATTGATTATAGACAGTGACCTTACCTTAGATAGGGTGGGGCACTTTTTATAGCCTGCCAGCTACTGCATGTGTCTGTACCAAGGAAGAGGGCTGCAGTAATTGGAGCCTGTGTGGCATCACCATTGGGGCCAATAGTTCCAGGTAAATGTGGAAGACTTGAACCATGATCCTTACTGTGTTGAGATCTGATAAATACATGTACATTGTACTTGATGTATTTCTAAAGCCACATTTCAATTCTCAATTCATATTGTGAGTTTATTGTTTTATTGCAATGATTGATATATGCATTCATATATGTATAGTATTCATAGTATTCATTTAAAACTATTGCCCCCTCATATTATTTTTGTTTTCTAACAGCATTGTGAATTGTAAGTATAATATGATAGCTTAGTCCATACTGGCAGCTGATAAATACAGATTAAAAATATGTACACTTTTATTAATGTTTATTAATATTTTCTAAGTCAGTTTGATGATTGTGTCTACATTCACAAGTTCAGGAAGATACAAAATACAATACATGTAGTTTGAGAGCAGGAAGGCAATATTTACATTACCTACACGTGTACTTTATCACAAACTTTACTATACTTACTTTACTTTTGTTTTTTCCTTTGATTGCATTGTGAGAATATCTGGAAGGGTAGGTTCCTTGACAGCATTTTTAACTTGCATTACATGCTGCACATGGGCTGACTTAACTCTATGAAAGTGATCTAACTGTCTTAGTCTTGAAGCCTTTTCTTTCACTTCCCGACTTGTGTATGTACTAACAGGTTGAAAAGTTTGTGAAGGGAATTCTTTTTTGGCAGTATACATAAAGTCCCGGTGTAATGCTGGTTGGACAACTGTCCATAGGAATTGTATTTGGTTTAGATTACTCCGGTGGAGAAGGCCTTCGAGAATGTTGCAACGCTGAAAAGAAAGGGTGTTCTTTATTTTATGTTTATATAATAATGAGGAATGTAATATTACATTATTTATCCCACTTTTTGTGAATTTTGAAGCTTTCTGTATAGAGTAAAGGGAGGCAATGTCTTCCATGTAGGTAACTATTGGACACTCAATGCAGGCCTTCCTTTGTCTAACAATTACCTACATGGACAACATTCCCTAAATCTTGCCTGTGTTACTGAGTGAATATACTTTCAGATCCCGGGTAGGTTTCAGATGATCTGTTAAATTGAAGAAGGAACTTTACTTGCATTATAAATGAGGAACACTTTGTTATACAAAATAAAATTACCATGTAATGATCCCATTGTTCCAGCCAATGTGAGATTCTATCTAACTGTTTATCAAACTCAACACTGTTCATGGTTGGGGCCAATCCACCATATCCCCTCCATGGACTTGGCTGAGGAGCAAGAATTTTAGCATCCATTTTCAATCATAAATTACACATAAACTCTACTGCTAAAACCATCAAAAATGCGCCAGAATATATTTCAGATATTCATGTTTAGATAAATTGTAACTATATAATATGTTAAGTAGTTCTATGTGGCAAAATCAGGGATCATAATGATATTTTGCTCCATTTTTATCTGTTCTCTATGGAAGTTGTGTACATGACAACTAAGATGGCGACTGTTTTACGCGAGAAACAAAATTACGCAAATAATTTATCAGTTTTTATTCTACTTTATCAAAAATATCGATTATTTTTGGGACATCTCTATCAAAAAAATAATTTTTATGATGTGAAGATAAAAAAAAATACACAATTAGTGCACAATTGTTGATCAATAGAGTTCTTATTATTTGCGCCAGTTTTGAAAGCACCTGTTTTCCATAGGTGGCGCTTCATTATTTATTTCCGGTTCCGCATGAAATTTGAAAAATACAAAAAGGTAAGAAATGTACATTTGTCAGGTCATTTGTGGGCCTAATCACAATAAATTCCTAGATATTTATTAAACAGTGCCTCTTGTCCTGTTTTCACAGTGACAATCAAATCACATATTGATGAATGTGACAATTTCATGAATTTTCTTCTTTTTGGTTTTCACACTCACTCACTGTGAGTCACAGTGTCACACTTGTCTTGGTGGGACTGGGAGCATGGGATTTCTTGAAAGCTTACGGTGTGAGTGCAGGAACTTAAAGCTGCATTTAATGGAGAAATGTTGTAATATATCATCAATAAAGTTCTCTGTAATCAGTGCCTGGGACATTTAGAATTCGATCCATTTGTGTTTATATGCAGGCCCGTAGCCAGGATTTACCAGGGGGAGGTATATATAATCTATGTATATTGTAAGCTAGTAAAGGTGGGACTTTGGTCACGTGAATGGTCCAAGCCCTTTCCATAGTACGGAGGGACCCACCCACTTGTGGGTGGCTTCGCAAAAATGTCACTTGTTATTACACAATATGTTTGATGACATATATTTGAGATACAATATTCTGTTTAAAATGGCATGTTTTGCAGAAAAATGGTAGCACATTTATCATTTATTTAATCGTAAATAGACTCACATTTCAGGTCTGTGAAAACTCTGTAAGGCATTGTTACTCCCATTGTTGCTAAGAAAGTTGCATGAAAAAGAAAAAACAACATGTCTGCGATGGGACACAAATTAATTAAGTGCCAAACTTGATATGACCAGTATATATTATCCAAAGGAAAATTCCCCAAATTTTAGGGACTTATCATTTTTATGAAGGGGAAAGAAAGAGATGAAAATGCTAAATAGAATGATGCTTGGAGTTCACTTTGTGCAAGATACTTTTGGAGAACTCAACTTGGAGCTATTATAATCATGTATAAACTAGAAAAAACTAAGGGCAAATGGTTTTATTTAATACATTCAAAAAAATTCTTGACACCCAGTAAGTTGTAGGTCGAAGGATTTTTAGTCCATTCCCATTTTGAGGTCTTTGGCATAAAATATGTGGTAGATTATGGTGTTAAAACTGCTTCTTTATTCGGTACATTAAATATTCCATACATACCAAATAAAACAAACAATTTACCAAACCTTTACCCAATCTATCGAATGTTTTTTATCTATACATGTATTTGTGTGATGCAGCGATTCAATTTGTTTTCCTTAGCGCACGTATAATTCAATTGATTATATATACATTCGGTATTTAACTTATTCATATTCGGTAAATACCGAATGCCACATTCGATAAATTTCGTTATTTTTCGAGACTTTACGAGACTTTCAGTCACGTGATATATGAAAACGATGTTGAATAGCTGCGCGGCCATTTTGCAAAACTCGAGGTCATGAGACAAAATATCGAAAAACAACGAAACTTATCGAATAATGCTTTAATTTTAATTATTGCATTCGGTAAATATCAAATTAGCTTTCGGTAAAAAGCATTAACTATGTTATTGAAAAATAAATCATTTGGTAAATATAGACAAACTTATTTCGGTAAGAGTTCAAACAGAAATTCGGTATTACGCATATATGTATTACTCTTAAGGAATACCATAACAGTTTACGCAAAACATATATCATTTAGTGAATAAGATATGTAATTTAATGCACATAGCATGGGCTTGAAAGCCCATGCACATAGTAATAAGGGATTTAATCCATTGGCTATTTTGAAAACTTAATTCGCTGTAACAAATATATAAATGTTTTTACCGAACAAAAAATTGATTTAGCTAATTTAAATATTCCATATATCGAATATATTTGAATTAAACGAATAAAGAAGCAAAAATAATGCCATAGTAGATCATGTTAATATAACTGTCTGTTTGTAAATAGGTGGTGTAATTTCTGTTGTAACCATGACGACACTTGTGTTGGATAATGGGGCACATACAGTTAAAGTTGGCTATGGAAACCAAGCTGAACCAAGGTATTTGTTTCCACATTTTATTTATTTATGAGTGAACTGTTAAATTCACCAAACATCTTTGTTATAATACTGTACTTCTACTTAATTTGGTGGCCGTTTTAATTTGGCAGATCCACCATTAAGTCGCCGCCAAATTCCCTGGTAATTTTAGTTCCATGTAAATTAGTACCATTAGCATATTGTAATATCTCAAGTCCGCCAAATTAAGTAACTGCCAAATGGTCAAAACAGCAAATCCGCCAAAATAAGTGCCACATTTTTAGTATTTTGCATTTTTCAGTCCATTTTCACTGTTCTATCTTTTCTTTTGTATGTACATGTAATAGATACAAAACAAACATTGTATTTATGGAAAATATGGACTTTTTATTGCCTAAAGCTGAGCATTCATCAAATCATCGTCCTTACTCCATATTATATTTTATTTTATTTATATATATATTATATTTATATATTTTACTTATATTTATGTACTATTTTGAAAATAAGCATATTTATTACATCCACTTTTCTTTAATTCAGAGTGATTCCAAACTGTATAACAAAAGCCAAGAATATAAGAAGTCGTATATTTATTGGAGATCAACTTAATGACTGCAAGGATCTGTCTGGTATTTACTATATACTCCCATTTCAAAAGGTAAGAAAACACACATGGAGATATAATCAGATTATTCCATGGATATATACAGAATATCAGATCATTTTTAGTGATATCTAATTTTATCAACATGAGTGAGTGAATTTTCTTAAACAATTTTCTGAAAAGTACCACATTAATCTTCATAATATTAGAAATATCCATGTGGTTACAGATAACATAATAATCGTTAGATGAATGCAATTATTATTTCCATGTCGTGATACTCGTTCTCTCATTGGTCAATTAGATACCATGTGACTGAAAATATATTGAGGTGAATACACCTTCAGAAATATATACAGATATTCAAATCCACAGAATTCAATATTTGTATAATATTGATATAACAACCAGCATTTATATCTGCTTTCTCCGAATACAGGCCTCCAGAACTCATACCTCCTAACAAGGAGTCCTGCTCTGTTCACAAGATGTTATATCTGTCAGGGGTTTCACTAGTGATTTTTCACAACAGGCTAAATAAATGAAAACAACAGGCAAAATTAATGGAAATCATAAATTTAACATGGAAAAGTTGAACAGTCCCTAAAAACAACAGGCGATTTTGTGAAATCAAAAGGTGAGAATCACCTGTTGCCTGCTGCTAACGAAACGCCTGTCTGTGGAATCCGTAAATATACTAGAAACACAAAATAGAATAAAGAATATTTAATAAATTTTATTCTTTCAGGGTTACCTGGTGAACTGGGATGTACAAAGACAAGTTTGGGACTACATGTTCTCCAAAGATGTCATGAAGGTAATCTAAAAAAAATCAAATATTTATTGAATTGCATGAAGTTGAATTGTTTCTTCTTTAATTTCAAAAGGTTGACATGTGGAAATCATAATTGTTTTCACTCAGAAAAGAAACTAATGTTTATTAAAGATGTCACAAAGGTATCTCCAACCTCCAACTTTTTTGTGGATTGTGTTCAACCTTTGGTGTTTGGTGGTTTATGTTCGTTGTCTGTAACCAATGGCAGGTGGTGACATTTTACATGTTGATGCCCTGTTTAAATTAGTTACAAATTGTCATAAAAAATAATCAAAATAATACAGTGAGTAAAGGGGGTAGTAAAGATGTCACAAAGGTATCAAAATATAACCATCATGATGGTACTTGTATATCAAGGTATTTAAATATCTATAGATGTCATGATTGTACTACTTTACCATAAAGTGAGCACAAAATAATGAAATCCAACAATGGTCTTCCATGAGAATAATTTCAAAAAACAATTATGCCCAGTCCCTGTTTGCTTTAAAGTATCAACTTTTGTTTCTTAATTGTATTAATTCTCATTCAGAAGAAGTGAGTAGCTCTGATAAATATTTATTAATACTTGGTATCAGCGGCTTCCCCTTAGCTTTCCCTACATGGTCCTACAAACCTTATATGGATTTATCACATGGCTACCATGTGACCCAATACCAACCCTTAAATCTCCCCCCCTGTTTCTCATTGTATCTTTCTTTTGTTAGGTGAGGTTTGATGAGACCAACCTGTTGATTACAGAGCCACAGTTCAACTTTGCAGCTATTCAAGAGGGCTTGGATGAACTTTTCTTTGAGGAATATGGTTTTAAAAGTCTCCTCAGAACAACAGGTACAGGATTTCCAATAAATTTGTATGCCTCAGTAGAACAGGTACAGGGTGTCCAATAAATTTGTATGCCTCAGTAGAACAGGTACAGGGTGTCCAATAAATTTGTATGCCTCAGTAGAACAGGTACAGGGTGTCCAATAAATATATATGCCTCAGTACAACATATACAGGGTGTCCAATAAATATGCCTCAGTAGAACAGGTACAGGGTTTCCAATAAATATGTATGCCTCAGTAAAACAGGTACAGGGTGTCCAATGAATATGTACACCTCGGTACAATATGTACATGGTGTCCAATGAATATGTACACCTCAGTACAACAGATACACGGTGTCCAATAAATATTGGCACCAAAGCACCACAGTTTAAACATTAAAATAAACTTTTTGTCCAAATCATAACTCAAAGATCAATGATTCATTCTGCAGCTTATCCTCAACTTATACATTGGTGTTTCTTTTTAGGGAGCCATTTAAGTCAGCACAAGTATACCAAAGATAACAATGACAGTCCATTATGTTGCCTAGTTGTCGACTCTGGTTATTCCTTCAGTCACATAGTGCCTTACTACAATGGGAAGAGAATCATGAAAGCCGTAAAAAGGTAATAATGCTCAGCTAACATTTTGAATAAATTGTGAAGATTATCATTGAGTAAATGCCAACGCTATTACATACGGAAGTTATTATGTTGATCCCGCTACTTGAAATATACTACACTACCCAAAATGAACTACACTACCCTAGATATACAACACTACCCAAAATATACACTATAAAAAATATACTACACTAAACACTACCCAAAATATACTACACTTTCCATTCCTGCCATTAAAATGAAAAAGGGGGAAAAGATTGGCATTTGACATTTTTACACAACATACCATAAAATGTCTTATAAGCATGAAGTCAGATCATAATCGGGTAATGTAAGAGGACATAAACCAAAATTTATATGTCAGGTAAAATGATGTCACATAAAACTTTCCCATCCATTTCCTTCCAGAAATAGACCTAGATTAAATCAGAACATGGCCTTATAAGGACAACTACTTTTGAGATTATGAATATTGTTTCAACATAAAACTGTAAAATCATAGAGTAATAGTCAGATGTAAGTTTGGCTGATAGTGATTCATGCTTGTATTAGAGAATAATTAAATTTGGTAAATCCTGTTTAATCTGAACGCTTCGGGAACTGGCCAAAAGTGTTCAGATTACAGATAGTAGTTCACACTTCAAGGTTTTGTGAATCAATGAGTGGAGATAATTTTGGGACCCAGAAAAAGTGTTCACATTGAGAGGTGTTCAGATAAGAGAGGTGTTTGGATATACAGCTTTCACTGTTCTCATGTGTTTGACATTTCAGAATCAACGTGGGTGGCAAGGTCCTTACAAACCACTTGAAAGAAGTTATCTCATACAGGTAAGATGCCCTGAAAAGAATATAAATATCATATTTTAAAATTTGAAAAAAGTGTGGAAAATGAGGAATTGGCGAGAAATAAAATTGACAGCCACACAAATTACACTCTGAATTGTAAAGAAATGCCAAAAGTGGTGACGCTTCATTCAAGTTTTTGAGAGATTTCCGTCCAATAATGAGCAGAGTGACTTCCGTGAGTAGGCTGTAAAACAACTTTATTGAAAGCTTTATTTGATTTCTAACCTGTTGTGTACAATACCTTCAATTTATCAACATTCTTTGATCGTCAAAGTTCAATAAAAAGAAGCAACGAGGAACTAAACGTCGTGTCAACTCCTTCCTGTGTGATGTATATGCTTTTTGAAAATTAATTAATATCCAGTTGTGTCATGTCAACTTATAGATAGAATAATGGAAATACAGGATATGGATTTGATTTGAGTAAATGTGTTTTTGCTTGATTATTTTTTGTGATAGCAGTTCAGTGTCTTATGGGGAAAAGATTATGGGACCATACGGTCAAGCCAAGTAACTTAGTCAACATTCGATATTCGTATGTTCATCAGTATTAACTAAGAATGGTGCCACAATTGAAGTAAACCTCTGTTTAATTATTTTCAATAAACCTATCAGCAAACGTGTAAATGATAAATTTGATATTCTGTTACATATTGGTGAAGCAGTCTTTGGGATATGGCCTAAATTTCTGAATTTCCACAATGTCCCTGTATACCCCTACTTAAAAAGATGTATGTTATTTGTCATTTTTCATTATGAATCAACCATAAATGTATTTTTTCTTGTTTACATACAGAATGAACTTTTTGTTTCCAAATATTGAAAGATGGTACTGCATTTATTTTCTCATGATATGGAGGAAACAAATGCGTGTCAATTTACACTGTAATATCCCACATACTTATTTCTCAAGGGTAGTTTTGAAGAATAATCAAGAAAATCCATGTTTTCTAATGAATTCATCCTTGTCAAAGAACGTAAATGAGGGTATGCGGTTTGAAAAACTAACAACATGTTTTAAGTTCTTACAATTCTTGTTTAAAACAAACATTTCGAAAGTTGTGATTTCGAATGTAATATCCAACTCAATGTAATTTGTTGATATTTGTGAATTTTTTCTTTCGAAATGCACATTCCTGGATCACAGAACCTTGCCTTGTTCGAGATGCACAGAAAGGGTATTGTTAATACTTGACGTCGTTAGGATATTCGGATTTGATTGACGTTTTCGTTAATCTCCAAGCACTGTAACTTCCAGCTTAATTTTTGAAAGCCAAAAATGATAGTCATGAATCGATATTTAAGTCACACGTGGATGCATACATCATGTGTCTACCTTAACTGTCGAATACATGCCGACTTACATTTATTTAAATATACACAGTTAACTCAAATCATCAATTCTCGAAACGGTTTATCATATAACCTGACCTGAGTTTAATGTTACATTTTAATTTATAATTATGGTATTGGATTTGAGTATGATTTTAGTTGAGGCTTAATCAAAGCAATAAAATTGCGTGAAACCTTTTGTGAAAATTCGAACGATTTTTCAAGAATCCTCCTTCAAAGTGTTACCACAGTGCTCCCCGGGAGTGGAAATTTCGTCTAGTGTAATCAAAGTAATAGCGGGTGGTTTGAATTTTTGTTTGAGTTTATAGCTCAGCATCTATAAATTTAAAAATGTGTCGCTTCATTGAGAGGTACATGCAGATTTTGGAGATCTATCTTTATAAAAGGCTAAATTTTGTGCAAAACCAGGAGTTGAGACGCTTACATTTTGAATTGAAATTTCCTACATAATTGTCGACTCATGTTTAAAAGTCATGAAAACAAGGTTGAACACAACATAATAACCTAGTTACTGTCTATTTAGCATGGGATCACTGAGGGAAATATTATTAATGACTTAAATCGTTAACAGTTAAGTTGTATTCCAAGAAACTTATCAATTTAGAAATGCAAAATGTTCAATTTTGTTTTTCAATTATAAAAAATGGCACCTGTAGAGAACAACGTTTACAAAATTATTTAAAACGGAGATATTAACTTATGCAACATTCGTTTGCATGTGTCAGGGAGTAAATAAGAAGAATATGCATTTGATTCTATATCTTGTTCCCAAAGGAGTTTGTTAAGGAGCGGTATATCTTAACGTACTTTTATCATCCCGAACTCAAATATTTCGAATCCTTATTTCGACAACGCTTTGTTGAGAATGGATTCAAGATGTACTCAAAATTAATACGTTAAAAGATGTATTATCATCTTAATAACCACATCACAAATTATTTTGGAAATCAAAGATGTACGATTTTTGAGATTTTTATTTTCGAATGTTGACTTAGTTACTTGGCTTGACTGCATAGTGTCCCCTTGAGTTTTTTTCTTTCAAAATTATGCAACTTTCAATGCGGTAATTGTTAAATCTGGTACAGCTGGTAAATCTAAACTGAATTTGACAGAACATGAAATCCTCTTTATTTGTAACTTACCGAGGGTGGAGAATAGAGTCCCCTTTATATTAATGGTAATTGGCAAATTATTTGAACTTGCTTCTTGTACAGGTGGGATATTTTTTTATTTCTCAATTTCTCAAGAGTACGATTTCAACAGTCAAATTGAATGAGTTGATTTCCCGTTCATTTCAAGTCTATTTAGTAATGCTAACTTCCAATGCCAAATAAATTAGAGAAAATACCAAAAATGTTATACATGTGTACATTGAAGAGACAATGCATTTGGGAGTCTTAAGTTAAGACCATTGACTGCTCCCTGACCAATCAGAATTGAGTATATTCCTTGAGGTACTAATAATATGTTTTATTCTCCACTGCAGACAGTTGATGGTAATGGATGAGACATATGTCATGAACCAACTGAAGGAAGATGTCTGCTATGTCTCGACACAGTTCTGGAAAGATATGGATATAGCCAAGTAAGTAATATGGCGGAATATCTCATTGAGCTCTCACACTCAGTTCACTTGGGCTCACAGTTTGCCATCGTGTCTGTGTGCATACTTTGGGGCAGATGGTGTGACATTGCATGGATACATGGTGGGCAAAACAAATAGTTTCACAGCAAGATATACAAAACCAGTTACCCCTATTGAAGAAAGAAAATGTTTAATGTGTAACAAGAAAACCGGTTCAGAATGCCATTTCCTATTAGAATGCAATAAGTTAAAAGATGTTCGGTCAAGTTACATGGATAAAATAAAAAAACACTGTCAAAATTTAGAAAACATGAATAACGTGGAACATAAATTAATGTTTCTATTTAATTCAGAGGGAATAATATTAAATATACTAGCAAAATATATATCTAATATTTTTATCGAGAGAGAAAAAAACACGAAATGCATCCAATAAAATCTTGCAATGATCAAGCACCCTTTGATTAGTTAATATACTATATAGATAATTAGTTAAGCTTTTTCATTTTTTCTGTTTAAGCTGTACACTTTGCCCAAATGTGGGATAAAAGTATAATAAAGCTCATAATAATATACATCCTCTGATCACAGGGCTTCAAAATCCAGAATATATTCTTTCTTTTTACCCCCTGCAATAAGTAGTTAGCATTTCCCCGATTAAGAACTCGCAATCTGATTGGCTGTCGCAACACTGCGACAGAAATCATGTATAAGTCATTGCGCATAATTAGATCACGTGATTCATCTTAATCAGGCGCTTCCAAATTGGTTAAAGCAGGGGGAAGAAGGAGGTACGGATTCTGGATACCTGCTTAGGAGGATGGATATACCCCATCACACCAAATACAAGAATTAATTTTATGATTAATTTAAAAATTAATAACCAGAATTAGCCACACAGTGATGTGACGTATGATGAGTCCATATGACAGCTTCTTACTTTTTTATTCTATTCTTATGTTGTGACTATTGTTGTCACAAAATTTGTTTTTTATGTGACCAGCATTAGACATCTGCATTTGTGTCTTTAACATGTGTTACACTGTTCCATGTCATAACCTTTTGTTGTTATGTCACCACCAAAAGTGGTGACATATTGTTATGGTCTCCGTTTTTTTTGCGACGGCGGTTGGCGTCCGGCGGTTGGTGGTTGGCGTCCGGCGGTTGGCGTCTGTAACAATTTCTTACAACTTCCTATAACTTAACAAATACTGTTTAGACTGACTTCAATTTTTTTCTAAATCATCTACATGTTCTCAGAAGTTCAAATCTGACTTTAGATTTGACATTTGACCTTCAATGACCTTCTCAAGGTCAAAAAGGTCTTTTTTCAACTTGCTTCACATTGACTAAATTTTTTTTCAAAATCATCTACATGTTCTCAGAAATTCAAATCAGAAAAACCACCAAAAGTGGTGACATATTGTTATGGTCCTCGTTTTTTTTGCGACGGCGGTTGGCGTCCGGCGGTTGGTGGTTGGCGTCCGGCTGTTTGCGTCTGTAACAATTTCTTACAACTTCCTATAACTTAACAAATACTGTTTAGACTGACTTCAATTTTTTTCTAAATCATCTACATGTTCTCAGAAGTTCAAATCTGACTTTAGATTTGACATTTGACCTTCAATGACCTTCTCAAGGTCAAAAAGGTCTTTTTTCAACTTGCTTCACATTGACTAAATTTTTTTTCAAAATCATCTACATGTTCTCAGAAATTCAAATCTGACTTTAGATTTGACATTTGACCTTCAAATCTGACTTTAGATTTGACATTTGACCTTCAATGACCTTCTCAAGGTCAAAAAAGGTCAAAAAGGTCTGTTTTCAACTTGCTTCAAATTGACTAAAAAATTTTTTCAAAATCATCTACGTGTTCTCAGAAATTCAAATCTGACTTAAGATTTGACTTAAGATTTGACATTTGACCTTCTCAAGGTCAAAAAAGTCAAAAAGGTCTGTTTTCAACTTGCTTCAAATTGACTAAAAAAAATTTTCAAAATCATCTATGTGTTCTCAGAAATTAAAATCTGACTTTAGATTTGACTTAAGATTTGACATTTGACCTTCAATGACCTTCTCAAAGTCAAAAAAGGTCAAAAAGGTCTTTTTTCAACTTGCTTCAAATTGACTAAATTTTTTTTTCAAAATCATCTACATGTTCTCAGAAATTCAAATCTGACTTTAGATTTGACATTTGACCTTCAATGACCTTCTCAAGGTCAAAAAAGGTCTGTTTTCAACTTGCTTCAAATTGACTAAAAATTTTTTTCAAAATCATCTACGTGTTCTCAGAAATTCAAATCTGACTTAAGATTTGACTTAAGATTTGACATTTGACCTTCAATGACCTTCTCAAGGTCAAAAAGGTCTGTTTTCAACTTGCTTCAAATTGACTAAAAAAAATTTTCAAAATCATCTTCGTGTTCTCAGAAATTCAAATCTGACTTTAGATTTGACTTAAGATTTGACATTTGACCTTCAATGACCTTCTCAAAGTCAAAAAAGGTCAAAAAGGTCTTTTTTCAACTTGCTTCAAATTGACTAAAAAATTTTTTCAAAATCATCTACATGTTCTCAGAAATTCAAATCTGACTTTAGATTTGACATTTGACCTTCTCAAGGTCAAAAAAGGTCTGTTTTCAACTTGCTTCAAATTGACTAAAAAAATTTTTCAAAATCATCTACATGTTCTCAGAAATTCAAATCTGACTTTAGATTTGACATTTGACCTTCAATGACCTTCTCAATGTCAAAAAAGGTCAAAAAGGTATTTTTTCATCTTGCTTCAAATTGACTAAATTTTTTTTCAAAATCATCTACATTCTACATGTTCTCAGAAATTCAAATATGACTTTAGATTTGACTTTAGATTTGACATTTGACCTTCTCAAGGTCAAAAAAGGTCAAAAAGGTCTTTTTTCAACTTGCTTCAAATTGACTAATTTTTTTTTTCAAAATCATCTACATGTTCTCAGAAATTCAAATCTGACTTTAGATTTGACCTTTAATGACCTTCTCAAGGTCAAAAAAGGTCAAAAAGGTCTGTTTTCAACTTGCTTCAAATTGACCAAATTTTTTTTTCAAAATCATCTACATCTTTTCAGAAGTTCAAATTTGACTTTACAAGTTCTCAGAAATTCAAATCTGACTTATATTTAGTTTGAACTCATAATATTGTGAGCAACTAGGTGGTGACATTTTGTCATGTTAATGCCTAGTTTAGCATGCTAAGGGGCCTTGCACAAAAGAGTTATACCAAGGGGTCCACAAGAAACATTAAGTTGGCTCAAAAGATTATTATAATTGTTGATATGGGTTATCATTCAGTGAATTATGGTATTAACATTTTGATGTCACCACCAGAAGTGGATGGCAGTAGGTATTAGATGGTCAGTGTCTGTAACAAATGGCAGGTGGTAACATTTTGCAAGTTGGTGCCTTGTTTACAAATTGTATGTTACCATAACAATGGGTCTTTCAAATATGTTGGTCAAATAATTATTGTTCAGTGAGACATCCCACTAAAATGATACAAAATTTGTTATTGGAAAATTCTGTAACATAAAAATCTATTAATATAGATAATCATGTTTTTGCTTGTTATTATTAGCTAAAGTAAGTCAAATGTGAGACATCCCACTAAAATGAAACAAAATTTGTTATTGGAAAATTCTGTAACAGAAAAATCTATTAATATAGATAATCATGTTTTTGCTTGTTATTAGTAAGTCAAATGTGATGTAATGTCATATTGTATTTGTTCTATGGTATCCCTATCTCATTTTTCTAAATAGATTTTCCAGAGAAATACAGGTATTAGCATTACATAAAACAATGTATTAACCTAGATAATGACCAAAACGATCAAAATATGACAAATAAAATAAAGTTTAATGATTAAATTGACACCATGGTTAGCATGATTGTCTTAATGATGTTATAAAGTCACAATCTAACCTTGCTATGGTATACCTACCCCATTTTCAGAAATAAAGTACCTTCTAAAAAATAACACATTTTATTTTATCAAATTTGATTTTTTCTAAGATTTTCATGTATGATATAAATAAAAAATGAGGTTCAAGCTTTAAATTAATACCACACTTAACATTATTAGTTGAATAAAACCAATCTGAGATTGTATTACAATATTACTATGGTACCCCGACCCCATATTTCAAAACCATAAATATTTACTTGGTTGTCTAAGCCAATAACTTGGCTAGAAATAATCACATTTGCCCCGCTGTGTACTCTAAAAAAATGTTAAGCGTGAAAAATATTCAATTTAAATTAAATAATTTATGACAATTAAAGCTATTGAATTGAAATCAAAATGAATGTTGTCTTAAGTGAGATATTATATTTATTTTTTAAAAACATCTTAATAGCTCACCCAAGGCTGAAATACAGAGACTGCCACGTGGAGGAATGTAAATAATTATTATATTTCCTTTATTTCTAAATTATGAGTATTATATTTCCTTTATGAGGATTTCATGTTATATTTATGTACTAGTTTGGGAAAACAATCTTGCCATCTCTCACAGTTGCTGAAGAGCCTTTGAATTGATGCCAAAACAATGAATAGAGCTCTTTGAAGGATATTCCTTGCAAGCCCATTTGGCTCTCAACATAACTGTAGCCATTATTTTACTAATGAATATTTTGCAAAATGTGGGAAAATGTTTTGATATGTTGAAAAATCATTATGTCACCACCATAAGTGATGACGAATTGTTATAGGCTCCAACGTATATGTTTTGTGGTTAGCGGCTGATTTCTGGCCTGCGAAGGTCAGCATCTGTAACAAATGGCAGGTAATGACATTTTGCATGTTGAAGCCTTGTCTTATTGTGTCGGGAGTTACAGATGAAATAATGTTATAACTTGCACTGAAATATGTGAAAAGTCTTTTTTCCAGTCTCATGTCGTTTGGATAAGCACTTTTGAGTCTTCACATTCAAAGGTTTTTGTTGATCATAATGATGAATAAAATATGGAGAAGACATCTGTCTGTCCATTTGTGCCTGGGTGATAACTCAAATATTGGTTGACAGATCTCATTCAAAGTAGCTGATAATTTTTTGTAAAAAGTATTGATCAATATTATCAATCATGTTCGGTTTAAATTTCTTAGGTTTTGGAAAGGACCTCATGGCTTAAATCTTGTCTGTAAAGTCTTGTCTATGCTTTTTCAGGTGAACTGTTCGGTAGATCAATTTCATATTTTCAGGGATGATTCTTAGTATGAAAATCTAGAAAGAGATTAGTTTTTTGACATTTTGGGTAAATGTCAAGGCAGCCATTTTGGATTTTCCATCCTAAAATCTTGTCTGTAAAGTCTTGTTTACATTTTTTCTGGATATTCCGTCCTCAAATTGTGTTGGTAAAGTCTTGTCTACTCATTTTCAGGATAACCATTTTCAGGGGATCACCCATTGGTGGGGACATTTTGTACACATTTGTGTTCTTGTATATTTATGTACTAGTTTGGGAAAACAATCTTGCCATATCTCACAGTTGCTGAAGAGCCTTTGAATTGATGCCAAAACAATGAATAGAGCTCTTTGAAGGATATTCCTTGCAAGCGCATTTAGCTCTCAACATAGCTATTGCCATTATTTTACTAATGAATATTTTGCAAAATGTGGGAAAATGTTTTGATATGTTGAAAAATCATTATGTCACCACCATAAGTGATGACAAATTGTTATAGTCTCCAACGTATGTTTTGTGGTCAGCAGCTGATTTCTGGCCTGCGACTGTCAGCATCTATAACAAATGGCAGGTGATGACATTTTGCATGTTGAAGCCTTGTCTTTATTGTGTCAGGAATTTCAGATGAAAAAATGTAATTACTTGCACTGATATAAATTTTAAATCAATTTACTTTCTCGAGTTATATTCTTTTTTCCAGTCTCATGTCGTTTGGATAAGCACTTTTGACTCTTCACATTGGAAGATTTTTGTTAATCATAATGATGAATAAAATACAGAAAAGACATTTGTCTGTCCATTTGTGCCTGGGTGATAACTCAAATATTGGTTGACAGATCTCATTCAAAGTAGCTGATATTTTTTTGTAAAAAGTATCGATCAACATTATCAATCATGTTCAGTTTAAATTTCGTAGATGTTGGAATGGACCTCATGAGTGTAATAGAATCTTTGCTCAAGGAGGATTTTCCTTCATGAATGCTCTGATAAGATATGTTTTGTTTGGTAGGATTTGCTACCCCATGGAATTGCTGTTCTTCTAATTCACATTAATTATTGTTCATACTAAAAAGGTCAAAATGAAAGTGCAATAAATGAAGTTCCAAAATATATTTAGATTCTATATGTACATTTTATGTATACCATATTTAGTAAGCATAACGAGTAATAGGGTCCAACAGGCATACATGTAACTACAGGGCATCAAATAAGTCTGTTCTCCCCCTTAACTTTTTATTTCTAAAGGTATCATACTATTCCATATATCATTCTAAAGCTTATGGAAAATGCTGATCACTCCTAGAAAATCAATAATGAACTCTTCCTCATAAAATTGCTACAATGTTTCTTGAAAGGATGCAGTTGACCATTGGTTGGTCAAAAAGAGTAAAATTACCAGGATAATGAATGAACCGTGAAACTGGGATTATTAAGGACAGGGTCGAAAAATTAATCGAAGATCAACCAGAGGAGAAATTCATCGCAATGAAACATTGTTCAAATGTATCAAGAAAGCTCTTAGAAGCCTTGAAAGTGCAACACCCCTGTTTGTGAACATTTTTGTATTGTATCCGGCTTGTAGAATTGAGGCTGTCCAAGCTGCTTGGGGGTACTATTAAAAATGAAAAATATGAACATCACTAAAAATGCTCTTGGAATTTTACCAATCTCTCTGAAATTTAGTGTGTGATCAGCAAATTTAATTCCCTTTAAAATGAAATGATATATAACAATCCTATGTTATTTCTAAATCTAAAAAGTTAAGGAGGGAGAATAGACTTATTTGACGCCTAGTAGACAGGTTATACATGCATTTTCTAGACTACTGTTTATTGCCAACTGCAAGAAGCACTGAACCCATTTTATTAGGTTTTTAACAATGAATGGATTCCATTAATTGACTCTACAATGCCATTACAATAAGTAACTACAATAATACAATAACTACAATATACAAAAATAACTGAAACTAGACTAAACTATTACAAAATACAAAAATATAAAAATAAATACAACATGACAAATGTAAAAAATGACAGTCATAAGCATGATTAAATGCTAATATATCAGTGTGATGTATCATTGACACAATATTGATCTAATTTTTCGAACGAATGATAAATGACATAAGAATTTTGTGTGGCATAAGGTTTTTAAATATAACTTCAGGACTAGATTAAATTGTATCAAACAGAAGTTCATCGGCTAGAGGTTTTTAGCTGACATGGTGAACTTTTGCAATCACTCACTTGTTTAAATGTATTTTAGTATTGTATTTTATTGTATATACATGTATGTATTGTAAATTCTTTCTGTTGTGATTTATCCAATCAATATCAAAGTGCTGAAAAGTAGTAGAGTGATTTTGTTCATATTTGATATGTGAATACTTATAAGCATGGCACAATGTCTTATTCAAAATAAGTTAGACTTTGATATGTGAATACTCAAAAGCATGGCAGACTGTCTTATTCAAAATTAGACTATAGATCATCTGCAAAATGCTCAGACAAAGTGATTAGTCTCGATAACTTCAAGTTCTAGGTACACTCACTGGGTACAACGCAACAACCCATGATTGGTTTCTAAAGAAACGTCACAATTTATTAATCAGTTCGTAAGTGAACTTTGGTAAAATGTTACTCTGCTTTATCTTTTTTTGGAGAATGGATGAACTTCTTTACAATGAAGCTGATGAAGTAAATGATAATTCCACTGATGACACATGCAATGACCACAAATAGTCCTATAATATCCAGCAAGTAATATTGAAATATGTTCAAGTTGTTTGCGCCTTGTGAACGCAGGTGAGGTGCTCCTTTGTGACGTATAACATATTCGACCCAATAAGCGACCTTGTCTTTTGGGCTAATAGGCTGGCTGTGATATATCGCAGCAGCTTTCTTTGCATTTTCCTCATATGTTGTGTTATACAGAACCTCTGTCATCGCTGATCGAAGCACTTCACTTGTTAAGTTCCTCGGGTCGATGACCTTGAGCGAACCGACACGATTGGCTAGTTTTTCACAGTTATATGGTTGGTCAGCTATTAATGGTATGCCAACATTTGGGACTGCACTGTCGAGGGCTTCAAATGTTGCTGATATACCACAGTGCTGGACAAATAGTTTCACCTTGCTGTGTGCCAATAAATCTCTTTGTGGTATCCATTCACTGACGAATGTATTATCTCCAAGTTGTTTCGGTTTCGGCCCATCATAACTCCATATAACTGTTTGTTTCATAGTCGCGAGTGCTTCAGCGAATGCTTCTGCCATGTCCATTGGTAATTTACGAAATATTGATCCAAGACTTACAACAATGACACCGTCGTTGTTAGCTTTCTCAACGATGTCCTTAAATTTCCCACTTAGAGGTTTAGCTTTGTCCAGGAAGTAACCGTCAATAGATATTATGTGGGGCATGAACGGGGCAGGATAATGAAGTGCATCATTTCTGTTCATCAGGACGAGAGAAACGGTTTTAGGGAAGTCTACGATATTATCACAGGCCGCAGTTTTTATGTGTTTAAATTTCAAGCAGACTTCTTTCACCATTTCTTGCGCAACAGCTGCATAGTAATGAAAACGAAGATATTCCCATGTGTTCAAAAATCGTTCCCATATATCCATTTTATCACTTAGATAAGGGTTTGTAAAGTCTACAGGTATATATGATGGGTTGATAGGGTATATGAAATCATGTCCCATTGGTCCCCAGTTGGAATATACAATAACTGGAACATTGAAGTGACCACCTAGAACCCTGCCAAAGTAATTATTGGCATCTGCAATTATCACATCAAATGATTGCTCAGACAATTTTTTCCATGTGTCCATATCTTGAATTGCATTATTCAAATGTTCTGGATAAGTATATGGCCAATACATCTTAACTATATCTGACCATGATAAGCCTATAAATGAGTCCAGCCAGTCCATGGTATCTGTTGCCTCTGCTACAGCAGGATCTTCTGGTGGAACCTTGTATGTAATCACATTGAATCTGTTCACAGCATCTGCCATTTTCTTCCCAGCCATCTTGAACAGTTTCGTGTTACGTAGTTCACTGGTATACAGGAAATTAATCTTATGTCCTCTTTGCTGGAGAATATCTCCAATTTTAATCATGTTTGTTACACGGCTGTTATATCCTACATCCAGGGGAGCTAGTAGGATGTTTGCTCCATTGCAGTATGCAAAAACATGGACCATCAGTAAGAGATACATTTTAGTCATGTTTTAGACTGTTTTAGGCTAATGTTCACTTCTTTTTTTGTGTTCTATGCCAGTACATTTGAACCGATATTATTTGCTTTTAACAGTGCTATTGAATGACCTTATTTAACTCCAGTATGTAGGCTACAGTGACTATGGTGTACACAAGGTGTATTTAATCAGCTTATAATAGAACTCTCCATGCACTATCAATGTGTGCACAGTATGCTTATTGACTGCTTCAATATAAGTATGTACTGCATGCTGAATAGAGCAGCCTAATATCTCCATTCAAATTTTTGGTGATTGCAAAAATAGATATTAGTCCTTTCATCCCCAAGGGGTCATTTTTAATTTAATGAAAATCATTTTCAAAATGACAAATACACATATGGCCAGAATAGATTATTTTTAGGTTAACAAATACTGATTCAATGTCAAATTATACTTGGCGAATTTAAAAGAGTTTGAACCCATCATGCTACAAAATGCATCCAAATTTTTCTTTTTGTAAGAAATGAGATTTGATATTTGAATATAGTGTGTACATTAGGGTATTTAGGAATGTAGAATACAGCTGATTACTAATTTTCTCCTGTGAATAGTAAGATTGCAGCAAGTGTGTATTAACTTAACATGAGAATATGTACCTTTGACTTCATATTGGATATCATCAGATTCAGATCCCTTTTTTAGATGGCAGGGGGAGGTTATTCAAACATGTGAACCCCTCTGGCTTAACAGGACTGGGTGTTATTTATCCCCATCATTTTCCCAACTCAATACAGATAAGACAAGTTGTACTAAGCCTGTACTAAGTGTACTCGTCTTGCCATAGTCTCCATTAGTCTTGCCTCGAGTCCTTGAGATCTTGCTTGATTTGTCTGTTCTTGGACATTTTCTCATTAACCTGTCAATTAATTTGAAATAAGAGTCAGAAAATAGGGGGAATTATGACAATAATCAAAGTTATTATCGTTTTGTTAATAGAGAAAGGGGCAATGGCAGTAATGGAAATAGGATTGATCAGCATGCTATGAAATTAACACTTGGTCTGATGACATATTTCTATGCTGTAGGAATTGCGTATTTGATTTATTAACTTAAATTAAAACTCATCCTTTAAGAAGATTGTTATTCATTTATCATTTTTTACACTGAGCACTTACACCTACTTATTTTTATTAAGATGTATTTATGTTAAAAAGTTAATATTTGTAGTAAAGCATTTGAAACAAAACCTGTCTGAAATGTTGTTCATATACGAGGATTGTCCCAGAAGTAATGCACTATATGCTCTAACTTTCTTTGATATTCTTCAATTCAGCTGAAATTTTGTGTATATAACAATTGAAGTTTTATCTATTATATCCTGAAAACATTTACGGAAAATTTTATGGAAAAATATCAATTACTGATAAAGTTAGAGTATATAGTGGATTACTTCTGGGACAACCCTCGTTTATGTACAGATATTTCATGATGATATGCTGCGTAAAAATGTAATTTTTTAGACAAACAAAACAAGACATTTCTGCATTCTACTCATACTTTGGTCAAAAATGAGTTCATCTGGGGGTAAAATTGCAAAATTCATATTATGTGATTCAGTCAAATTTACTAAGTACATGTATTTACTTGAAAGTTTGATTTTGGCAGTTGGTGTCTGTAACAAATGGCAGGTAGTGAAATTTTGCATGTTAATGCCTATATATCAAAACTGATTCAGTCATTGGATTAATTCTATGGCTTGAAAGTCAATTTTTTCAAAATGTTGCATTTCAGGAAAAAAGGTGCTGAAAACACAGTCGTGACGGACTATGTTCTGCCAGATTACACACATATAAAACGTGGCTTTGTCAAGACACAAGAGGAAACAGATGGGAAACCTAAGGGTCATGAACAGGTAAAATAATATTTTGAAGATAAAGACGGGATGCAAATCACTTGTTTAAGAAGTCATTGATGCCTGTCAAACAAACAAACCATATCAGATAAGCCTCGTGAAAATCTACGGTGGCTGAAGCTTCCCAAAATTGAGAGAAATATGCAGTTTAAAATCAAAGGATATGCAATAGTAAGTAATAGTTTTTGTGAAGCTACGGCGGCTGTACGCCTGTCACAGAGCAAATGATATTGGTTGTATGAAAATGAATTGTTTTTACGATTGTTTCTTTTAATAGAGATGGATGGTTATTGAGCTTTTTAATTAAAATCCTAGGATTTACAACGAGCAAGAGCCAATAAAACATAACAGGCTTTGCAATTATTTGTCCCTTGTGAAAACTCACTTCAGTAACTATACAGTACTAAGTACAATACATATTTTGTGATACTCCCTAGAACTGGTTGTTGTGAATTGAACAAAACATATTCGTGTTGGATGTAAATGATATTATAATCTATATTTCTATTCACAAGTTGGGTCTATAAAACTGAAAGTAATATATTCATATCAGTTGCACAAGGGGTCGCCCCAAAAAACTTCTTATCTGGTATAAGAGATGATATATGCAGTATATGAATTCTTCTTATTACTGATATTAGAATCCCAGTAGCTTTTTTTAGACTATACCTATTGTATTCTGCCAATTGGAATACCATTAGCACTCGTTTTTAGACAATGACCATCAATTCTAGAATCGTAGTCTTCATCTTTCTCTAAAGAATCTATAATCGCAATTCACTTTCTAACACCGAGTAATCTGATTATTTTCCACTCATAAGAGGCTTATAATAATTGGACTGTTCTTTTAGATTATACGGATGTGCAATGAAAGGTTCGCAGTACCCGAGGTGCTGTTTCATCCCTCTGATATTGGTATTCATGAAATGGGTATTAGTGAAGCCATAGTACATTGTATATCAGAGACACCTGAAGGTAGGTAATATGTATTATTACTCGCCTCATTGAAATCCTGAATTCTGATTGGATGATACCCGACTTTTATTTTATCTATTTACCCTTGTGATTAATTCATGTACATGTACTCTATCTCATCATTTTCTATATTGTTTTTTTGCACTGGATTTGTTCCATTGAGATGTTATTTTGCAATTTTATTGAACCCGACTACCTGATTGATGTAGAATTTTGCAGGATTTTTCTACTTTAATACACTAAGTTAAGTTAACTTAAATAAGGGTGTTATTTATATCTAATTTAATTCAGTTCTAGGATGCAAGTCTTTTTCCATACATCAATTGTCAACTTGAACCTCCCAATTGCATTACAGTGTAAACACAGGCATATATCTCAGTCTTCTTGAATGTATGGCTTCGTTTATCAAAATATGGACCTGACATTACAGTGTAAACAGGCATATTTCTCAGTCTCCTTGGTTAATTAAAACACAGAATTAATCTGCTAAAAGCTGACGTGAAAAAGTCACTCCACCCTAGTAGGGATTGAACCCACAACCCCCTCTCCTCTCCGGACAATTGCTTGTATACAGGCATATATACAGGGTGTTCCAAAAGTAACAGGACTGGTGCTAGCATTTTGTAAATTCTGCACCGAGTGTGTTCAAATTTTCACAAATTGTACTTTGACGTAGTGTTACTAAAATTGTAAAGTTTCAGAAAAAATGATAAAATGTGGGTTAAAGTTATGGTTACTATAGTAACGTGACATCACAATACCCGGGGCAACTTTTTCATGAAAATGTAGTATCTAACACTTTTATATAACTGAAGAAAGTATCTAATTCACCTATTACAATACAACATTTCTTGTTTGTTTTATTAGTTGCTTTATAGTTATGGTGTTGCTCTACAACTCAGATTCAAGTATGATTTCATAATAATAATGTTTATTCAATTTCCTGAAATATAATTATGTATAACAGTCTGCACAATTCACTGTTGAGTTTTTTAAAATACCCAATATGAAACCAGTAACCCACCTTGATAACTGGATAAAGCACCTGCCCGCAAGTCAGCATTAAAGACCACTGCACCTATAGCGGAGCTAGGTCTTGAGGTCTAAGACCATGCACCATAATCTTCTGATCATGCAATATCTAAGTTTTACTTTTATGTGGAGAAGGGAATGTAATCAGCGCGGTAAGACCGTTAAAGATGAGAATGACCTTCCCCAAGTTGTCCTATCAACCCTGCGTGACATGTCATCAAATGGGTTCACTCATGTGTTTGAGTCATGGATACAGAGTGGAGAGGTTAAGCTAACGATGTTTTTCACAACGTAACCGTGAACGCAAAGTACAAAAATTAACAAAGGAATGTATCGAGCGCTCATAGTTTTATGCGCGCTTAGTCTACTTCAGATACTCTTTCAGCTTCAGAGTTTCGGGTTTAGAACGGGAGATTTGAATATTTGACGTTGGGTCAACGGGAACCATTTTACTCGTGTCTATTGAACACTATGCTGTCAATTTTGATTTCGATGTACAGTTGAATTCTTGCTGAACACGATGATGTATGTCATGCATGATTTAGCGCCAAAAATCTTACGAAACGAGCTCGTTTAAAATATGTATTAGAAAACCAGCTATAAAACCGCATCAATGACATACTATACAATCATTACACACTATGGTGTAGTCTAAACAAACACTGGATTTGAACGGCTATTTATATGAGAAGGCTACATGAATTTGTATATGGTCGAGTGATACGTACAGGTTCAGTTTCGATTATATATGCAAAGCTTAACCTCTCCACTGTTAATCTTAGACTGACCCAAGAGGACCCTACTTTTCAAAGTGGAGGATAGATAGGAATATCAAATGATGTATTTAGCAAATGTAATTCCCACCAGTTGTTGGATTCTAACTTTGATATGGGATGTACAAAATGCTTAAAGTCTCCGTAATTTTCTGCGTCGAATGTTGCCCCGGGTATTGTGATGTCATGTTACCATAGCAACCATAACTCTACCCCAGTTTAATAATTTTTATCGAAACTTTGCAATTTTAGTAACAATACATGAAAGTATATTATGTACGATTTTGAAGACAATTGGTGCATATCCAACAAAATGCCAGCACCAGTCCTGTTACTTTTGGAACACCCTGTATATGTCCTCATTTATAAATATAGTCCTGACCTTACTGTGTAAACAGGCGTATATCTTGGAATAGTGACATATCCTCCAAATGGGTTCAATTCACTCAGAATCCAAAGTCACCATTGTCTTAGAATTATTCTTATGTATTGTTTACTTTTCAGAAATGCACCCTCATCTCTATGGCAACATTGTTCTCACAGGAGGTAACTGCCTTATCCCAGGATTCAAAGAAAGAGTGTAAGTCTTAGCTCTTTTTTAATGCTCATATAAGGAGAGGCATCAAAAGTTCGATGTTGGATCGGAAACTAAATAAATCTAGTTTTGACTTTAACCACTTCCCAAAATTAGATACCATGAAAGTTGATTGCTAACTTCTAAAAACAATCTAGTTTTAAAATGATAGAATAGAATCCATTGGAATGATCTTGACAAAGATAGCATCAGGTAAAATCTTTATTTTAAACCATTCTTAGGCATTCTGAGTCAAAATCGTAAAAATTGAAATGACTTTGATCCACCTCCCTTAACTAGATTTATTTGGTTTTCGATGCAACATCAGACTTTTGATGCTTTAAGATATTTTTATTTTTCACATAATAATGGTGCCCCCCATACCATTTCTAATCTATAAATATTATATATTTATTATTTATATTAGTGACTAAGAAATCAATTACACTGTAAAGAAAACATTTTTACTGTGAATAAATATAAAAAATAAAAAAAAAATATGAAAAAAATAAAAAAGACTTTTGATGCCTCCCCTAAGTTAATCGGTTAGTGATTTATCCATTTAACACTGCCAAAGAAATCAATTTAAGACACACAACATCACAGAAAGACTACCTTTCTGATTTAAAAATGAAGTATAAGTTTGACTCAATCCGTTTTATCAGACGGATTGAACATAAATTGATGGAGGAGTTTCAAAAGATTGCTTTGATAAATGTTTTTCTTCTGCATGATCAAATCGATAAATGCTGGCAGAAATAGATAGGTTACAGGGTTATGTTAGATAGGACAATGTTCATGAATACTAATTGATATAATTAAATTAGCATCAGCAGCTAGTCTTTATCTAAAGCCAAAATAATGAAATAAACTGTCCTTGGAAGAAGGTTAGGACCTTATTAATCGGTCAGATTGTCATTCTATAATCATTAAACCTTTCTGACATCCTGTCCCTACAGACCTCAGTTTATTTTTCTAGCCCCTGGATATATCAAATAACTTTGAAATTGGGCCACCAGAAAGGACCTAAAATACACAGTCAGCACCATCTATTCCTACATATACCTATTTGAATAAGTCTGGTAACTCATCTTTGCCTTTTGATTAATGCATTGCTTGATTATTTTTAGTTACAGTGGTCTATTAGACAGACACCCTATCGTTAATCAAAGCTCACACCTCATGTAGAATGCCGATTATTGAAATCACTAAAAAATCATTTCCCAATTACTAACAAACAATACATTACAAAAGCTCCCAATTCTCAATAAAAATGTCAAGTGAGTGATGCTTTTAGGTCACGCTAATTTATATTATACCTCAATATCCTAGATGCGAGTAGAAATAATCTTGATTTACGTCATTAAAAATTCACAATTCAGTCAATCTGATGTCATATTTGGAATCTACATGAAAAATTACATCTAGAAATGTGGTTTTGAAAAGAGTTTATCAACTTTGAAAATTTAGTTTTCTTTGAAAATGTGACTTCTAGGTCGGGGAGATTCCCCATAGACCCCATGTTGTAAAACCACAAAAAGTGAAATATCTTTTCTTGTGTTGGGCAGATAATATTTTCTTTTACTGGACATATTTTAATTTGTATAACTATCACATGCATACGGGTAATATGAAAAGTGAACCACTAAAACTGATGAATATTCAAGTTTAAGGGAATTTTGTAATACCCTGCCATGTTATTTCCCCCGAATCATCCACCTGGTGGCGAAACTGGTAACTACCTACTCGCGTCAGAGTAATTGTGTCACATTAAATTAGAGTTAGGATAGATGGTGCTGACTGACTGCGCTAAAATCAGGGAATTTTCAAATTACAAATATGAGTCCTTGAAATGACAAGGAAAGGTCCATGTGCAATATGGCAAGTGATTTTAGACAGTCATATCTTTCACCATGAGTACTCTCTGGCCATAAATACAATGTTTTTTATTAAAACAATATGTTTTCTTTCAAGTGAAGTACCCATATGGATAAAAATATCAATCAAACAATTCGAAAAATTATGAATAGTGTCAACAATTTTCCAAAATGTTGAACCTATTTACTTAAAAGAGGATTACCTTTTTCTGATTTTTATTGCGTGAAAAGATTATTCAACAAGGGATCTAAAACATTTTCTAAAGTAGAATGGTATTGAAAGTCTAGTTTTGAAGATATCAATTTTCGATGACCAAAATTATGCTGAAAACAATGGATCGCACGAGTTTTCCCTATGGTAAAATAACATGGGATGTGTGGTTTTAACTTTAACACATTTCAATACCCTTCCCCTTTTCAGAAATCGTTAATATAGTGTAGAAGAAACGTTCAATATGTTAAAATTGAGAAAAACAAGATCCTCTTTTTAGAAAATAAGCCTTACATTTGAAAAAAGTGCCAAGGTCGGGTCCTAAACCATAATTTTTCAGAGAGTTGGATTGATATTTTACTATCATGGAGATTTCACTCGAAAGAAAACATATTCTTTTTATAAAAAACATTGTATTTATGGCCAGAAAGTCCTCATGGTGAAAGATATGACTGTCTAAAATCACTTGCCATACTGCACATGGTCCTTTGTATTCTGAGTTTGTTAATAAATCAGTTTGACAGAAACAAGAGTAAGTTTGACAGAAATGAGAACAAATAGGATAATATAAGATAATCTATAAGATTAAAGATACATGGACTTTGTCTAGGCTATGCAACAAGGAAGATTGGCTCCCAGGGACGCAGCTCGATATTTTCCAACAATGAAAATGTCAGAATTTTGTTATTTTCTGACATTATATTAATGACTATATAAATTCATGAACTACAGTCCAAAATATTCAAACCAAAATCTCAACCACTTCTTGTGTGTTTTGAAATTTTTTGTTTGGATTTGCGATCCAAATTCTGAAGTGAACAAAATGACGGCTGTTTGACTTCAAATTTTAAATGACAACATCTCCATATATGGCAGAATATCGAGATGGAGGCCTGGGATCCAATCTTCCTTGGCCATGTGAGGAAAATCTCGAAATTTATTTTTTGCCTGATAATGTTTGGTAATGCCATTTGAAATAATCTAATCTGTGTGATATGAATTTAATGAGTTTTGCTCTTGATCATGCGTCTCTTATGATTTGTCAGATTTATATTTAATCATTTTCAAAGAGCTAGGGTTGAGATGTTTCTTTGCAATTATTCTCTGAATAAGAGTGATTCTAGGGTTGTAGGGGTCATCGTGAACCCGACTATCAATCGGGCCATTATTGAATACTGGTAGGAGGGTTCTGTTCATAATTGCAGGCCTGTCAACTTGGGAACACCTAACATGAGTGACTTGGAAATGTTGAACACCTCCCCTCAAAATGTGGACACCTTGGTCCAAATCTGAACACCTTGATCCAAATTTTGAACACCTTGGTTTAAATTTTATTTCATGTTGCCAAATTTTGAACACCTCAAATTTTTCGCGCTCGCTACGCTCGCGTTTTAAACAACCATCAACGGGGGGGGGGGGGGGGGGGGGGGGGGTAGGTACGAAAAATTTTGAACGGAATGCGTGACATATACGTAATTCGCGTGAAAAGTCCGAACGGAATGCGTACATTTTTTTCCGGCGTTCGTATTTTTGCTGTGTGGACGATCTTTTTTATAAATTTTTCTACAGAAATATTTTTGCGTGACAATTACCAGGTAAAATGCGTATTTGCGTGACATTTTCTGTCACGAAAAAATAACTGGCGTGACTTCAAATTCTTCAGCAAATGCGTGACAAATACGCAAATTGCGGGACAGTTGACAGGCCTGTAATTGGATATAATGCGTATTGATAATGTTTTTTTCAAAATGGCTATTTTTTTCAAATAACAGTCAATTTGTAGGAAGCTAACAACCTTCTTACAACTGTGTTTTTTCGTACTTTTAAATTCTACTGTTCTGTTTTCCAAGTATTTCATACGTGTTCATACTTGTTGTTGATTATAAAAACATTGGTGCCTCGCCAAAATAATTTACAAACATTTAGAGTAGCATGTAATAAACACAATTACTAAAATGAAGTTCTAGTAGGATGCCCATTAACGGATTTATCCCTTGGAGGAGACAGTTCAAAATTAATATTAGGCATTGTGTTCAAACAGTCCCTGATTAATGCCAATTCTTTCGAAAATTAGATTTTCCTGATTTTCTGGCATTTAAGCTCGCGTTAGAGTGTCATTTACATGTCAAATCATTGATTAGTGATTAGTGATTTTTTTCAATTTAAAAAAATTACCATTCATTATTAGATTTTTTCTACAGATTATTTGCTTATAAATAATTCATTTTGCATTTTTGAACAGAGGATAAGTTCTTAGTTTTTCTGCAGGCTTGATTGAAAAATCATCGGAGGGATTTGAAAAAACTCACACTTGCACACAAGACATACACTACTTTAAAGATCACCATTATTTTCTTCGGGAGCTTTTGTTACAAAGTAATATCACTTGATTAATGGCGTGCGTAATACCCTGTCACATGGTTGTCGTGTATGTAAATGTAATTATATAACATGGATTACTTCAACATTGATTTATCTATCATAAAATTTGTATATCCAGACACTTCTCTAATCTGAATACTTCTCAATAAGAACACATTTTTCATCCCATTTTACTTGATTAATAACGAATAATTAAACAAGTATAATCTGCCATGGATAATAAATGAGCCTCGCCATAGGAAAACCAGTCTTATCACAAAAATTTAAATTGTGATACAGAGCCAAAAATGTGCCCAAGATTAAGAGAAAAATGTGCTAAATTCGAATCAGTCTTTTTGGTCTAAACCTGCAAGGAAAAATTGTTAAGACACGAGCCATGGCTCATTTGAAAGGTCTCTTTGTGCTTTTTAAGAAAAACAAAAAATCAAAACATTGAAGAAATCTGTGATAAGACCCCTTTTCCTGTGGCCTGGCTCAAATATTGTAAAAACCTTGAAATGTGAACACCTGCCAATCTGAACACTTTCGGTCAGTCT